ACGCAAACACAGAAAATTGGCAGTTATTGTATATAGACCATTCTTCCATCATTGCAGGATACATTTTGTATTGGGGATCACTTTCGTACGAAACCAATCATATCAGAGGCGCATGTTAGCGGTACATGTGTGGTAGCATATCGTACCATTAATTCTAGGCACGGGTTAGTGACTATAGAAGGAATATACCGTAATCCGTGCTATCTTTCTGACAACTTTATCTTAAGATGCATCTGTTCTTGGAGTACGACAGAATGCTGCCACATCATTGTAAACTTCAACGCATTGCACATCAATTGGACAGAGATTACAGCTCCTTAAACGCTTAAAACGCCTAAACCTTTTCCCTTTGTCGTGTCGTTGGACGCGAAGACTGTACTTTTAAATAACACATAATTCTGCTCTAGAAACATTATTTCTAGTTGTTCGTTGATATGCAAAAAAGAGCATATTAGTATTAAAAAGCATTAGTTGTAATATCAGAATAGTAGCTCAAGAAAAACTCACTTTCTTGGTTCTATATAAAATTTAATTCGACACAAACTAACGATAATGAGAACAATCCATTCTAAGCGCAAAGTTTGAAGTTTTGAATGTTGGTGAGTTTCAATTTCGCTCTCTTAGGTTTGCTTCCGTGCAATCGAAGATAATATCCTAATGTCTTCTTTACCACTGAATACTGTGCCATATAGCAATAAGATGTGCTTTTAGTCTTTCGAAATTTTTAGTTCTTCGTTGGCCGTCTCTAAATATTTTGGAGTGCTAAATGTAAGAGATGTAGTCCAAAAAGAATAAACAAAATAAAAGAATCAGAATGTGGGATTGTAACATGTATTGTGTTCTGGATTATGTCGATTTTTGACCGCCAGGTTTTTACTTAATATTGATTGTATCCTATATTTTGGCTGTGTAACAAACTTGTTAGTATAATTTCATATATTGCACTGTTAAACAGAATTTAGTCCACTTTATTTATAGAGTATTGGCTTACAAGTTAAGGCATTCCCACTCCAACTAGTCCTGAATCTCGCTCCATAAGTTTTGGTTACCCACTTGTAAGAATCTCACCTTCAATGTTATGTGCTTGAAGAATGTCCCACGAAGTTTCTCCCTGAAAAGTATTGCTATTGAAGGTATCTATTTTTGGTAGTTACGGCACAGTTGCTTGAGTGATAGTTTTCCACAAACTTCAATGTGACCAGATGTCCAAATAATGTTGCGGGTACACACAGCACGTGTTGTTTCATGGACTGGCCGCTAAAAGACTGAGTAAAATGTCTCGAAATCGTTCGCAATGGCTCAGGAGCATTCACTTGTTGTCTTACCGTTAATTACAAGTTTATAGACTAATAATCTACTCACTTTCCCAGTTTACATTTTCTCGAGTCCTGTGTTCAGTTCTTGATTTTTGTCACTATTACAACCTTAACTGCTCTGGTATTCTCCTTGATAATTTCATCTTGCTGTGCTAATGGGGTGTAAGAAACTTAGTCGACGTATATGCGTATCAGGTTCTACGTTGGGTTTGACGGACTGGTTAAACTTTTTCTGACTCTGAACTCCAATGTGTCGTCAAACCATTTTTTGGAATTTTTTAAAACCTAAACGTTTCTGAGGACTGTTAACTGCTGTCCCATCTGGTGTGCATACTTTCACTGAGTTAAAGTGTCTTAGTCTCCCAAATAAATTTCTAGTTTTCTGCTTATAAAACCTACTTTCTGGTAATAAAACAGTTCATCTGTTAAGTCTCCGTACGTGTACTTAGTTTTAAGGCACGTTTATTTGTTGGCGAAACTACTCGGTTATTCAAGCCAAAGTTGAATACCCACTAACTTTCGTCATCCGTGAAGATGTACCAGCTGATTGTGAGGTTTTAAGAATCCCATAGAAATTCAAAGTTTGCAAGCTAAGTGTTCCCATGCAACTATACTTGTCATTTATGACATGATACGTGTCACCAGTACTTAGTATTTTAGGAAAGAGTTAACTGGGAGTTGTCTTTGCGTTACGTTCAACTAGTCTGTCGGTGCTGACCTTTTTAGAAGGGCGATCATTTTGATCAAATAATCCTGAGCATGGATAACGGACCTGCGACTATTGTCCATGCCTAGACCCAATCATTTGTAAGCAACGTAAAGCGCAGTGCTGTACACATCCAGAATATAATAGAGTTGACTGTTACATCATAAGGTTAAACTTATTTTATGTTGATCATGAGTCTTTTTTAACCCACTTTTGTTGAGCTATGGTAAATCTGTTTGATCCAATTGGTTGGCCTTCTAGGATGTTAGGATGATGCGTCGATAAATTGTTGTCATCATTACCGATTTCATACCATGCCGACAAGTGAGTCACGAGTCTGTGTTCCTAAGTAAATAAAGTTTCCATCGGAAGTTTTTTTTAGGTACACATAGAAACTGTCTCTATGGTCACTTTACTGCAAACCATTCTGGAAATAGCTTTAATAAAAAAGGTAGTGGTAGTTTTAATCTGTCACCTGGAGACTTTCCATTCTTCATTATGCAGATTTTGTATTACAGTGTGGTATACTAGCTGAGCAGTTATTCAGTTGACAATGTCCGTAGGTATGGCATGTACTTTGGATCTTCTAAATGCGAGTACCTTCACAAGTTTGGCAGGGTCCTGTCTCAACACCTCTCATTGTCAATCATCATTCCTAAAGCACGTGTATTCGGATGGTTGGATGCTTGGTGATGGCATAGTAAATGAGTCAGTCAGCTACAACATAGGACCAGGCACATATATGCATCGGTCCAGGTTGCCATACCGCATCAGCACAACAAGATGAACACCGGATTCATAGCAGTGGTTAGGTCAAAGGTAGTAATATGTAAGAGAAAGATTGCATATAGAGATGTAGTACAAGAAGAAAGAATTGGTTCGTAGAAAGAAAGATATGAAGCGATTTTAATGTCTTAGTTTAAGGGAAGACAGGGAGTGTATACACCGACGCCATTGTGATCGATTCTGACCCATGTCACCAAGTCTCCAACCATTGGTTACGATAGTCACGCGGACCCCAACCAAGTAGTCTGCATCTACCAACATGGCTCAGACTAGAAGTTAGTGACTTCAAGCACTGATGACACGTTTTGGTTTGGCCGCCCCTAACATTCTTCCAACCATTTCCAATACCGGATAGCATTGCACGTCGTGGTAATCGGTGTTCAGGCATACGTAACACGTGGCCCAACCATCTCAGTCGATGAAGATTCACAACCTCATCAACTGATTTACCATCATTCCCTAATACCCTGCGTCTAACCTGACTATTACTTACCCGGTGATCGCAGCAGATGCTGGCAATATTTCTAAGGCATCTGTGGCCAGATACTAATAGCTTACGAGTGTCTTCTACTCTTGGGGTCCGCGTGACTTTCGTAACCAATGGTTGGAGACTCTTGGTGACATGGCTCAGAATCGATCACAATGGCGTCGGTGTATACACTCTTTGTCTTCCCTTAAACTAAGAGATTAAAATCACTTCATATCTTTCTTTCTACGAACTAATTCTTCCTTCCTATACTATATCCTTATTGCAACCTTTGACCTAACCACTCCTATGAATCCGGTGTTCATCTTGTTGTGCTAATGAGGTATGGCAACCTGGACCGATGCACATATGTGCCTGGTCCTACGTTGTAGCTGACTGACTGACTGACTGTCTTCTACTCTTAATGGCCATGTTTCGCTGCCGTAAATTAAAACAGAACGGACTGCCGCGCAGTATACTCGTCCTTTTATTGATAGACGGATATCTCGCCTTCGCCATAGGTGACGCAAGTTGGCAAAAGCCAATCGAGCTTTTCGAATCCGTGCTGAGATTTCGTCCGATGCCAACCCATTAGGGCTGATCAGACTTCCAAGATAAGTGAAGTTGTCAACGCGTTCGACTACTTCACTCCCTATACTTAGTTCAGGTGTTAACGCAGACCAGATAGATAGATCTACGTATAGTGAAAGCTAGAGTTTTTGTCAACCTGTGCCCTTTTAAAGCTATTTGTGACTATTTTCTAGCTATAAAAGGTCGAGTTTCCGTCTGGATAAGCGTAGTATTACTCAATGTTTGTGAAACAGCCGCTCTAAGTTAAAGATGTTAAGCAACTAATCTGTCATCGTCTCCGGTGGATTGATAACATTTAGTGGCAATATCATATTAGTTGTACGGAGGTTCGGCAGTGTATGTTCAGGCGTAGTAAAGATAATCCATTTACTGTCATTCTGAAACCTTGGGACTGGTTGCAGTAAGCGGAGAGTAGTCAGATTATGATATGGTCCTGGAGTATGGTAGAAAATTGTGTAGGATTGATATATGTCGGTTCATCACAACTCCTTGGTTTTGGCCCTAGGGATGGTACAACTCTGTGGCCCAAAATATTACCAGATATAGCTCAATAAAATTTCAACTTCACATTCTTCGTAAAGAAGAACTTCCTTATATGAAAGGGTTTTTCCTAGATGTAATTTCTTTGTCTGATTTATCCCTCCTATTATAATTTATTCTGGTCCACTTATTTCCATTTATTTATTCGATTACACTCATGCTTTCTCCATCCCTCCACATTTTCTATTTTATGTGGCACTTTTTCTGATTCTCATTGCTACAAATATTTGTTTCAGTAAGTAAATAAGTCAACCGTTTACCACCAAGCACTAATGTTTTATAGCAGTTTTATTGTAGTTGCGTTTAACTGAAGATATAAAGCAAGTGTTGTTTTCTTAATGTTAATGATCGATCTTTAGTTTTCAGATGATTTCGGTTATTTTGGTTTGATAAGCTTCAATCCAAACCTTCTGTAGTCCTGTTTAAGTTACAAGTTATATGCATGATGTCCAACCCTACATAATATTGTTCTCATCATGAACTGTTCATCATTATTTGATTTCAATTCCTAAAATATTTTAATATAACGTTCCTTTGTTTCAGTTTTTGTATGTTGGTGGAAAACCAGTCATCCAAAACCCTTTTGACTTAGTGGATGGTCGAATTCATGGCTGAAGTCGGACAAGAATTACATCTTACAGGTAGTTGCTCAGGTACATACTGGTTTCTATTCGTGTCACTAGTTTTTTCATTTATATAAGGTCTTACTGTCGTCACTCGTTCAGATATTTTTTTGTATCATATGAAATTGTTTATACCAACATCAGATGCAGATATATGCAGAATAGACTACAATTATTCTGTTTACTGCATTTAATTACTTTGGTAAAATCTTGGGTTTCATCGCTAGCTATCATTCATCTCTGCTTAGAATCATGATAGTTGTTAATGATATGAGGCATGAGATGCATTCAGTGTCAGACCAGAGGTAATATTATTTTAAAGAACAACATTGTTGGTGGAATACACTGTAATAAGCATGTCTTGTTAGCATAGAGTTTTCATTATTGAGTACTGCATGATAAACCAAAATGTTAATGTAACTGCAAACTTACGTGCTTTCAAAGTGGAGTAAGGCTGGTTTCTCTTGTGTTCAATCAATTATTGGTTAAGTCGAAGAAAGACACTGACGAGCAGTAACTCAACTTAAGTTATATTCATTTTACTTAAAGTATTGTCAAAATTGGTTCCAAAATGGATCCTCTTAGTATCATAAATTGTTATTACGCATATCTCAAGTGTCTTGTTTTCTTGTAGTTTTTAGTCACTTTTCTCTTCAAGCGCTAGTATTTCCTCACCCTTATTAACTATATGTTTTTCCTTATTTTCCAGTCAAACCATCTACACCAACAAGTGGGAAACGAAAATCTTCTAGTCGGTTGAGTTTGTTTCATTCAACTGCTAGGAAATCACGAGCATCTGCTGGTGATTTAAATTTACCCACCCCTAACGGTGCTTTGACCTCGCTAACTGATGGATCTTCTTCAGGTATTGATTTTTTGTTTCGAATTGACTTTTACTAGGATGTAAGATAGCGTTACCTAGCTGACTTGTTCAGGTGTCTATCTTGACGGTATGAAATAGATTAATTGGGTTTTTTGGTTACTTCATCTACTGCGGAAGTCTCATTATACGTGATTAGGTCTATGAGCAGTAAAACCTTGTCGTAAATCCAAAGTAAACATTTGCCTACTTATGGGTTTCCATATTGTTTACGTTTAATTTTGAGAAATGTGCTGAACTGACCCGGCTTATTACTGCTCTATTTCACTGTAATTGATCCGTTACTCCGTTCTCTTAGGTGAATGTATATCGTGTAAACAACCACGTATTTAATAATCAAAATGGTCTTGAGCAAACATAGGCTGTTCAGTAAGAAGCCTAGCGGTATTTTTATTTAATTGATAACAACGAGGCTCATCATTATCTTCCTTTTATTTAAAAGTAACACCGAAAGGTGGAGGATTCTTCTAATAAGATCTGTCAGTGCTCTTCAATGTAAGTTATTTCCACAGTATTTCACACTCTATAACTTACTACAAACAGTTTTATAACTGGTTTACAGTCTAGCTCAACTTTATGGAGTGGATTGGAATAATAAATATGTACGAATTTGAGCACCTAACCAGAATGTAAGCTGTTGTCAAAAGTTTCTCAACTGTTAGATGGTTATCCATACTCAGATTGGTGGACAAATTAGCCTGTTTCGTGTACATTATTATTGCTAGAGTGACTTTGTTGATTTCTTGTCTTAGTGAATCATTTACCGGTCATCCCATTCACTTACATTCTGGTTGTTGCGATCATTTGTTGACTTTTGCATCCTTTGATCACTTTATAAAAGCCACTATGATGTTGTTTTTCTGTATACTTTTTTCTTTCAGACTTACACGACACACCGATTCGTGCTAAACTCGAAAAAAGGCAGCATCGTATTTTCGAATTTTTTGTGACAGAACGAAACTATGTTGAGATTCTACGTTATTTGTGCTTGAGCGCTTATCCAGTAAGTGTTAATTGTGTCTTATGTTTTCGAAATTTAGTTTCACTATTTTAATTTTTTTCTGTACACATTTCATTTACATTTCTTTCTTTTGCTGCTTGTAGCAAGTTATCGACGAAAATCAACCAGGTGGACCTGTTTTGCCGCGACAGGAAGCTGATTTCGTGTTTGGCAAGCTTGGTGCTATTTATGAACTACATGATCGTTTACAACCTCAGTTTAATGAGCTGGAAAATAATTGGTCGTTATCTGAAAGTTGTCTTGGGAATGTACTTCAGCTTAGTTTATTGACTGAAATGGATAGAGTAAGTATTTAATAAGTTTATTACTATTGCCCATCGTTGTCATAAAAGTTTTGACTGTTTTTGTTCAGTGTTGGAATATATTGATATTTCTATCTTGACCATGTTTAGTAGATTTATAAACGAAGGTAACTTATCAAAAGAAAAGATATAAAACTTGGTGCGTTATTCTATCAAGTCAGATCGCTACACCTCGACAAGTTACAACAAGGGGTGATCATTATTTTATTTTATTTGAACACATAAATATTGGTACAAGAGGGTACCAAATATATATGCGCCACACAAAGCAATGAGAATTCGAAGAGAAAAAAGAAGGTAAGGAGCGCATAAGCAAAAAGAAGAAAAATAACGACCACATATTAGTGTAAGGTAGTGTAGTAATAATAATAATGGGGGGAACGGAAAGGCACAACCAGGAGAAATCTTTCAGTTAAGGAAGATACAACCACTTTTTATGAAGAAAGTAAAAGAAGGTTACAGCAGGATCTCCACTGGCTTCTATTCTGAACCATATCTGATAACGTCTCTAGCCAATGTGTTGCACCATCTCTCGGACCCCTACCAGGGAGTCGTGAAGGACCGACAGAAGCCAGTCCTGCAGAGTTTTCTTTCATACCACGACAACATGTCATACACTGACCACCTCTCCGTTTTTTCCAACTAGTCCCAGCGTCCACAAATAATGCCCGACGTGGAATTCTCTGGGACGACATCCGTAGAACATATCCAAACCACCGAAGTCGACGTCTCAAGATGGTGAATTGTCGTCTCTGTGCCCGAACACACGATGCCGAATCTCTGCATTACTGACATGGTGTTGCCACTGGATGTCAAAAATCCTTCGGTGACAACGATGATCAAACAGAAAGTCGTCTAATATTCTCAACTCGGAGAGACTAGGTTTCACAAGCATAGAGCAGAACTGCTTTCACTGACTGACATTACGAAGGCTCCAAATATGTCCCAGATTGGCATAAGCCGCTCTGGCTTTCACTCATCTCACCACTCACGCCACCACCAGCACTTATGCAGCTACCTAGATACACGGACTTCTCGACTACTTTTATCTGCTCACCATCCAGGGTGAGTAAAGGATAAGAATCCTGCCAGTCTTGCATAGGTGGAGTGAATTTTTTTTAAAGATAGGGACAACTATCGACTCATTCCATGACGTTGGTACACTCTAGTTCCCAGACCTTTGTAAACAACGTCGTCAATTCCTTAGTCAAAAAGTCAGCACCATCTTTAAAAAGAGCCGGAGGTAAGTCATCTGGGCCAGGTGATTTGTAGCGCTTCAAGAGTTGGAGTTCCTTGCGGACTTCCGCCTCATTTGGTGGATCAGTGGCCACCGACCATGGAGGCCAGGACAGTTTGACCGATGTTGTCGGAGCAGCAGACCAGTTGAACTGCCCTTCGAAAAATTCTGCCCATCGTCCAAGACGTCGATGGATGTTGGTGATTGGCATCCCATCATCCTCACAGATTGTTTCGCTCACACCAGAATTCTTGCTGCTAGTGGCTCGAATGAGTTGGAAGAGCTTCCGGTAGTTACCAGATGCAGCTGCTGCTTCCAGTTCATAAGCACGCTCCGACCGCCAGGCTTCTCGGTCCTTACGCAAGCTTTGCCCAATTTCATTACGTAACAGTCGTCGTTTGTAGTCAAACGCACAGTCACCCGGAGTAGACCGATGGGCTTCGATTAGTTGTAAGGAGCCTGAAGAAACCAGTGATTATAAGCGGGACGTTTCGCGAACTCACAAATGACTTTTCTCGCCATTTTCATGGCGTCATGCAATTGTGACCAATGCTCATCTATACTTTTCGGTGGAGTGGTAGCTAGCCTAGCAGCTAGCTCTGTTCGATACTTACTTGCAACAGAAGTTGCAACCAACTTGCTGACATCAATCCTTTGGTGGCCGTCACTTCGTTGTCCACTGAAAAGTAAGGTAAGATTGGCGCAGACCAAGGCATGGTCAGAGTCCAGATAGGTACTCCAAAAGGAGCGGCAGTCTTGTACACAACCACGCCAGCGGTAGCTGATCGCGATGTGATCAATCTGAGTCCAGGCTTGGGATGCAGAGGGAGGACGCCATGTGGCACATCGGCGATGACTGTGCCGAAAGTTAGTGCTAGCTAGAAACAGGTTGTGGTCTGTGCACAGTTGCAGTAGACGGTCCCCGTTATCTGACCTGCGACCAACGAGTCCCCGTCGGCCACCTAAACGACTCTCTTCTGTGCCTAGACGCCCGACCTGAGCATTAAAGTCTCCGGCTAGTACTACAATATCTGTCGAATGCACTTTCTGGAGAAGAACAGATAACTGGTGGTAGAATTCATCCTTGATTGCATCCGGGCTGCAATCTGTCGGAGCATAGGCGGAGATGACGAAACGACGTTGCTTCTCACGCCGGTTTCTTCTCACTTTTATGGGACTTTCTTATCTAACGCCACATAACCGACTGTTATTGAGGATCCGATCGATTAGTGCTGCCTCAGCTCTAGCGCTTAGTGCGACCTCTAACGCCAGCAAGACCAGACGAAGATGCCACAGGGTCCCCGGATAGACAGCAAACATCGATATTAAGACTTCCTAAAGACATAGCCAGCCCTATCTGTTGTCCGACTTGCATAATTGTGCGAACGTTGAAGGCAGCCTGTTTGAATGGTGCACGTAGTTTCAGAAAAACTGCTTCAGTATTCGTATTTGGTGGTAGCACTCAATTTTCAACCAGTCAGTGACTCGAGAACGCTTAGATAGAACCGAGTTTCCACCATAGGCGAGCTGCTGTATGAGTCGAAAATAAGGATGCATAAAGTGGGAATAAAAGAGAATGAATGAATGACGTAGTGAATAATAATAATAATAATAATAATAATAATAATAATAATAATAATAATAATAATAATAATAATGTGAATCGTTTGACCGCTAGCGAAGCAAGAACAGTATTTTCCTTAAGTATCGTCATTTCATTCTGTTTGTGTGTGGGCTGTGATACTGCCCGTGTGCCCAGATCGAAGCAGGTGGTTTTCTCAGGGGGCTGGGGACCATACCACGTTGAAAGCACCGGTTCTCGTCCGGTGATCAATAAAAGTGTGGAAAATCGAGAGAATGTGTGGGAAGAGGTCAAAACAAAAAACTTAGTAAATAATTGTGCGTTAAACAATAAAATATGTAAAATTCAAATCGAGTCAAGTGATGTGTTCTGTCTTCATAGTATTACTCCTAATGTTTGTCAAACCCAACTGAAAAAATATCAGACATCACTGGCATATTATGACGTGCTTTTTCAAGAAACAGTTATTGTTGATAAGAAGCATATCAACGAAACTAGTAAGAATATTGATTAACAATATTTGATAGTCACTTTTACTGATTACTATGTTTTCTGAATGAAATTCTGATGATTGATTGATAAGTGGTCCTCGTGATACCACTAGAGTCATTTTGTTATTAAGCATAACTTTTTCCTATTGTCAATTTTAGGCATATGGGAATTATATGCAATTTTACAGTCCACCACATTTACACCACCTTGGTGAACAATTCCCCCGTTTTCATGCTTTCATGCGTCAAGTTGAAAAAAGGAAAGAATCTGGTCGTCAAAGTTTGACAGCTTTACTAGTTCGTCCAGTCCAACGACTTCCTTCGATCTCACTTTTAATGGATGGTTAGTTTTCCTTTGACTGTTACCATGTATCAGATTTTTACTTATATGTCGATTATTTTCTAATTTTGTAGATTAACATCTAAGTTATTATAATTAGCTATCGAATAGGATTGATTTATACTTTCTACCTGTTCACTTACGATGTATCCTATGTTACATGGAGTTTAATAAAATAAGCTTCATTGATTGTGCATCGATTTCGCTTTGTTTTAAGCCGTCTATCGTTATGTACTCCCCTTTACTTGTATCTCTGTTGTCAATAACGTTATTTAAAAATGAATGGAGTAGAGAACTATCCATCCCTTAAGGGTTATTTTTCACTTATTATTAGATAATTATCATCGGTTGCTCACTGGATTTCGTCTCCGTATTCATTTAAATGTCCTTTGTTGATCACCCGATCGAAGCTGCTACCTTGACGCGGTGGTCGGGCTTGCCTATCGTGATGACCCAACCGAGCTATATTGGCTGGAACATATGTTCCTGTAGGTTCTACCATGCCAGGCAGGTCGATTGGCGAACGGTAAGACTAAAAGCAGCAACTCAAGGTCTGAGGGCGAAGTCGTACTGCTGACTGTAGAGAGGTGTGACAGCAGTAAGGTGTTTCCCCTGGACAACCAGCATGACAGCGATGCTGCCTTCCCACACGGAGGGGTGGGGTTAGAAAAGGTCGACCCTAAAAATGCACACCTCACCTTACCTCACTGATTTCCGTCTCCGGCGGTAAGGCCCCTTGAAGAACGGAGCTAACACGTCAAAAACCTTCCACAAAAAGGCCGTGCGCGACCGGCCTCAAGCAGTTGTCCCTTGGGCTCTGCGGTCACGCTCCCAGGTCGTCAAGACCAACACTAATCCAATTTCCTTTTCAGATTCATCAAGAAATACCCTTCCACGGTGTGGGCAGCCGGGAAGTGACATCAGCCCTCATACCCGTAACAGCACACGAGACAAAGTTGGTCACATTCAAATCCTTCCTACACCTCCTAATACCTCTCTTATCCTCCCGACTAACCCTCCTCACGTCTCTTTATCACCTCGCACCGCTAGGGCAAACGATTCAAGTACGTGGAACGCCATTCCTGGTCTCCTGAAACCACGCTCTAAACTACACGTAAGAGCTTTTAACGTACGAACACTGTGCCAAATAGGACAGCAGGCTTCCTTAGCTAAAACTTTAGAATCTCGCGCCATCGATGTGTGCTGCGTCTCCGAAACGCGCATACAGGATCCAAGTAGCGTCATTCATTTGACCTCACCATGCCAAAATAAAGAACCGACTCGATTTACGCTTCGTGTATCTGGAAGTCCTGATTCTGCTTCCCGTGGCCTCGCCGGCGTAGGTATAGCATTGAGTCCTAGGGCAGAACTAGCTCTCTTAGAGTGGATCCCAGTAGACAGTCGTTTGTGCGCTGTCCGACTAAACGGAACAGTGAGGATCCGAAAAGGTAGGGACACTCGTCGTTGCCTCTTCGTCGTCTCTGCCTATTCTCCCACTGACTGCAGCTCAGATGATGTAAAAGATGAGTTTTACAGAAAGCTTTCGGACCTTCTCCGAAAAGCTAAGCGCTCGGATGTAGTAATAGTGGCCGGTGACTTTAATGCTCAAGTAGGTAAACTAAGCGATAGGGAAAGACACCTAGGTGGATCTTATGGTGTCGTGGCTCAGAGAACAGATAATGGCGACCGTCTGTTGCAGCTATGCTCAGATAACCGCCTGTCCCTTGCAAATACTAACTTTAAACATAAGGAAAAACATCTTTTGACATGGAGACCCCCTAATTCGTCCCAACGTTGGACCCAAATAGATCACATCGCTATCAGCCACCGATGGAGGAGCTCGATAGAAGACTGTCGCTCATTCTGGAACACATGCCTAGATTCTGATCATGCTCTAGTGCGAGCGCGTATTCGCCTGCGTCTTACTGGACGTAGGAAAGACGCTGCAAGGAAACCTCTTAGGGCCTACTTAATGATAGTCAAGCTAAGAGTATATTTCAGGAACAACTAGAAAAACAATTAGGCAGCCGTGTATGTGATGCCCACCCCGAGGCAGCATGGAACGATATCCGAAAAGCTGTGGAAACAGCAGTGATATCTGCTAGTAAGGTAAACCGTAAAGTTAGGGAGCAACACTGGATCTCAGCAGCATCTATCGCACTGATAGATGCTCGGAAACTCATTCCATTTGGCTCTGAACATAATGAAGAGCGGAGTCAGCTTAAGCGCAAGCTGACAAGCAGTCTACGCATTGATCGCGAACAGTGGTGGGTAGCGAAAGCAAGAGAGATGGAAAAGGCAGCGGCAATAGATAATAGCAGACAATTGTTCAGACTCGTTAAGGAAACCGGAATTAGGAACCCGACCGTTAGCGAAACAATCTCAGAGAAAGATGGACATATTATACATTCTCAATCCAGGAGATTGGATCGATGGGCAGAACACTTTAGCGATCAGTTCAACTGGCATTCAGCCACACTTCGGTTTCCCACGATCTCCAGTCAACCTGAATGGCAAGTTAATGTAAGTCCTCCGTCCCTTTACGAAGTTGAAAAAGCCATAGGAAATCTGAAACGAGGGAGAGCAGCAGGCCCTGACAGGTTTACTCCTGAGATTTTTAAGGATGGTGGTCCAGTATTAGCAATGAGATTAACTGAGGTCTTAGGTAGAATTTGGGAACTGGACGTAATCCCATCTGACTGGTCTCAATCACTGATTGTGCCAGTCTATAAGAAAGGACAAAAGTCCTCTTGTAACAATCACAGAGGAATCAGTTTGACTAATATAGTGTCTAAAATATTAGCCTCAATAATACTTCGACGCCTAACTAAAGCTCGTGAAGAGCAGACTAGAGAAAACCAGGCTGGTTTTCGACCTGGACGTGGTTGTATCGATCAGATATTCACACTACGTCAGGTTCTAGAACACAGACACACATTCAGACGCCCCACAATGGTAGTATTTCTCGACCTTAAGGCGGCATTCGACTCCGTTGATCGTGAGGTTCTATGGCAGTGTTTGTCACTGAAAGGAGTACCAAAGAATACATTAACATTATAGAGGCTTTCTACTCGAACACATCTGGTAGAGTGAGAGCTTATGGCGAACTGTCATCACAATTGATCACCTCAAGTGGTGTTCGTCAGGGCTGTCCACTCTCCTCACTCTTGTTCAACTTTGTCATTGACGTACTTTTAGAGATAACACTCTCCTCATCTAAATTTACAGGGGTTGAACTTCTACCAGGAGGTTCACTTGTTGACTTAGAATATGCAGATGACATAGTCTTATTTGGTGAAGACGCTGACAAAATGCAGAGTCTTCTGACCACTCTAAGCAACAATGCAAGCATGTTCGGGATGCGATTCTCTCCCTCGAAATGCAAAATGTTGCTTCAGGATTGGGTTACATCGACACCCGAACTAGTGATAGGGAGTGAAGTAGTTGAGTGTGTCGACCGCTTCACTTATCTTGGAAGTCTCATCAGCCCTTGTGGTTTGGTGTGTGACGAAATCTCAGCACGGATACAGAAGGCTCGACTAGCTTTTGCCAACTTGCGTCATTTATGGTGTAGGCTAGATATCCGTCTATCAACCAAAGGACGTGTTTACTGCGCAGCGCTTCGTCCCGTCCTACTTTATGGCAGTGAAACATGGCCGGTAAGAGTAGAGGATATCCGTAGGTTACTAGTATTTGATCATAGGTGTCTTCGAAACATTGCTCGTATATCATGGGACCATCGAGTAAGTAACACAGTTGTTAGGAAACGGGTACTAGGTAAGGATGGCAAATCAATTGATGAAGTAGTGAAACTTCATCAGTTGAGATGGCTGGGACACGTGTTACGTATGCCCAACGACCGACTGCCTCGACGTGCTATGTTCAGTGGTATAGGAGTAGGTTGGAAGAAAGCTGGGGGCGGCCAAACCAAAACATGGCACAAGTCCATGAAGTCACTGACAAGTGGACTGAGTCGTGTTGGTAGGTGTAGACTACCTGGTTGAGGACCGCGAGATGATAGCAACCGATGGTTAGAGACCCTGAATGACATGGCTCAAAATCGTTTGCAATGGCGCAGGTGCATCCACTCTTTGTGTTCTCCCAAATTCTAATCTTCTGAATTCTTCATGTCCCTTTTTTCCTCTTTCCAAATTTATTTCACTGGATTATACTCCTTGAATAACATCTCCAAACCCTAATCTTCCCGATTACTGCTTATACTCTTATTACCTCTATCACTACGGGATTCGAATCGACAAGTGCATCTCTGTGCTAATGTGGTGTGGCAACTCGAACTGATGTACGTACGTACGAAGTTCTACGTTGTTACTGACTGACTGACTGACCTTTGTTGATCGTTTCATAGTTTCGTCAAAAGATACAACAACTTAAACTGATATATCTTTAAATGGGGTTACTCAGTTCTGCATGTAATGTGTTTTGTAATGTTAAGCCAATAACCTATCTTAATCTGCATGGGATTCTTGTGGCCTTAAATTGTCTATTTCAGTCAAACTTTTCGCTTAGTATTTCCACGTTGACATCGTTAAGGATGAAATATGTACTAATCGTTTTCAGATAACCTAAATTACAACCATTATTATTCATTATTATTACACAGGCATTGCCAAATTCACACCTCAATCACATCCAGATTACAACGCAGTTAAAGAGTTTGCTAAAGGAATTAACGAGCTATTGGCTAAAATAAATGATCGGTTAAGGAAAAATGAAGAACGCCTGTCTTTATTATCTTTATATCATGAAATTAGTGGTGCCCCGGTAAGTTCTTTTCTCTAGAACATTCCACACAGTATTATTTGCCGTACATATGCCACGTAATTTGCTTCTGTATTTCTTTCGAATCGATAATGTTGATTTCAGCCTGAGATGTTATCTTCCTCTCGAAGTCTAGTGGCAAAACTTAACGTCTTTGAATTAGGAGTAAGCGCTTCTGGAAATACAACCTGCGAACCTGTGACACTTTTCTTACTATCCGATAGTTTGGAAGTAGCTCGTCCTCGTAAACGATTTACTGGTGAACCTCTTGCACACGCTATTCGAGCCGCGCTAGCTGCAGTACAAGGTAAGTCCTGCCTACCATATGTTTCTAATTTAAAATGGTTTTTCTTTAATTTAAACTTTATAATTCAAGTTAGTCTCTGTTCTGGATTTACTTAGTGAGTTATGGTACTAGTTACCAGAAATTGTTTATAATTTCGTTATTTTTCAATGTTAATCTGTTTATTAGGCATGTCAGTTAATCACATTTTACTGTATTAAATATCTAATTATACTCCTCACATGGGTCAAGTATGGGCATTTGCTAAGTGATCTAAGTAGCATAGTGATAACACCGATCCTCAAAATGATATGTGAAACAATGTATTTGGTAAACGCTTTACATTATCATTCGCTTCACATTGAATTTAGTCTCAAATTTTCGGCGGTAGTCTTTTGAAACAACCTCTATTCACATATCTGGTCAGGGAATTTAACACTTATATATGTCGACTGATACTATGAAGTACAGAGCTGAAACTTGGAGAACTTTTACAATCATCATGAAAAAGCACAAGTATTTATAAACAGCTGTCTGTGCAAGATACTCCAGGTCAATTAGTCAGACATCATAAAAAATAACCGACGAACAAACCAGCTTCCTGCTGAGAAAATTAGAGCAAGACGCTGTAGCTGGATAAGGACGTATTACAGAAATCAAACTGTATCACAAGGCAAACCCTAACTTGGAATTTTCATGGCTATAAGAAAAGAGTGAGACCTAAGAACGCATTGAGTCGGGAATCTGAGGTAGACACTAAAAGAATGGATAGGACTTGGCAAAAAAGTGAAGAAAAAAGTTGGTTGGATTCCTCTAGTCAGTGGCCCATGCTCCTCAAAGATTAATAAGTGTAGGTTCGCGCACGAGACCTACGGTCCTCGGCCTGACTCCCTGTTTCTTGGTCGTATATGCGCACCGCTGGGAATTCCTATACTATTTCGAAACGGCCGTCCAATGCTTTCATGTTTTCAATTGTTGCTTAACATGAATCAGTTCATGATGTCAATCTAATTCAATAATCTCCACAATTTTGTTCTGACAATTATTGTTTTATTCAAGTGTTTTGTAGTATAGTAAGATGTAGAAAAGTTCAATTCTTATTTGTGGTCGTAAAACTTTTGGTAACTCCATCAAACTAACCGCATATCAGGGTACACTGTCTTTTTGAAATGTGTCGATAAAATAATAGTGTGTTGTGGGTATTAATTTGGTCATGTATGTCCATATTTCTACAGGTGAAGGGTCTGAACACAACTTCGACGGTAATCATGATCAAACTTCAATTAACAATGGCGATTTTTCATCAAATCCATCAACAAATACTGCTTTAAGTGGAGTTTCTGTTTCTCGAACTGGTTCAGGTGCATCTGGGACAAGTGTGGTGAACCTCGGTCTTATGGAAGGCAAACAAAGGTGTTGTTATAAGCATTTACAGTTGCTGAAATTACAGGAAATAAAACAAGTGTGTTCTAAATTTTATTTAATCTATTTGCTTTTTTTTAATCGGTTATTATTATCCTAGTTCTTAAAATCTAAATAAGGATAAGTTGGAATTCCTAGCATATTTTGTTCTGTAATGAGTCGTACTACTTAGTTTATCCCTTAGTATTTGTCGTTTATTACCACATATTTCCCTACCATTTTATGGATTTTGGGTCATCTCTCAGTTTATCAAGGTTGCTTAATTTATCATTAATATATCTTTCTGTCGTCTATTCTTCTAGTGTTGTCATAAGTTTTGATGGACGAGATAGAAACAAATATCACTGGACCTTTCAAAATTTAAGGTAATCTTATCTTTATTTGTAGGTGGTCAATTTTGATACTGCCTCTCCAGACCGAGCTGCTTTCGGTTTAGTGGTACGTTCCAGTTCCGAGGTTGATGATCGTGTTCATGCTTATTGCTTGGCTGCCAGTTTTGCAGCCTCAGCGGCAGTTGTCAGCGGCAAGTGTCCAGAACCTGTTGAATCAGCAGTTGCAGCGGCCACAGCATCCGGACAGATTTCCAATGCAGTCAGTTTAGATACCTCACCATCAAATATAACTACTAATTCAAACAATTCACATGTAGCAATGTTACAGGCGTGTGTTGGTGAAGCCAAACGTGTTTTTCTTCACAGATTATGTCATCATATTTGTCTTGTTTCATGTATAGCAAAGAATCCAGAAGAAATACTAGTAGATGTCGAACCAGAAGAATTACTCGGTTTTGACCTAGAACAAGTTTTTAACGCAACTGCTTTGGCTTTATCTTCTAAAAGGTAACTGTACTACTACATCAATGTGTGTTAGTTTGTTACTAAAATGTACAGATTTTCTTTTTAATTATCAAGCAGTAAGTTTAAGAAGCAGAAATGACCTATAATAATGTACCTGTCAGTTGCTGTCTGATCGTTAAAGCACTTTGCTCTCAATGTGTCTCAGTTCCTAACCCTGCTTCACTTATTTTGGTTTGGACAACCAGGCAGCTTCATCACCCCTCATACAATTCACCCTAATAAGAGTGACCAACAAAAAGGCGCATATAAATAAAAGTGAGCATTAAGGGAGAGAATAGCATTTTTAATTATGTGAATACTGTTCGATTTACCCTGTGTTGTGGAAGACATTCTGAAACGAACAGGTTGTTGGGGGAGTGACATAAAGGTTCTGGCCAGCTTGTTGGTGCCGCTCATCCAGGTATATAGAAATGTATTGATGCTCTGAAAAAGTAAAAAAGTATAAATGAATTGAACAGTTTGTTGCAGGAATCCCGCAACTGCACTTATAAATAAAGTCTAAGGTGGTAGCGGTACGTATCAAATTGGTCATAGAATATTACGAAAACAGATCGACATTACACTGTATATATATGGAATAGCGCATAGTTTGAACATACAGATCTAAAATGTTTAACTTTGTTACTAAACTTTTGTAATGCATGTAACATTTACATCTATATTAAGTTGATGTTATCCCTTTTAATGCTATCTTTCTATGTATTATATTAAGTCGGTTAGTAATAAATTGGTCTTTTATGGTGATGAGTTACCAACGTGTCGGGTAGTCGGGGTCCGAATCTCAAGTTTCTATGTCGTTTACTTACACCGATTACCCCTCTTAGTCTGTCGAAAAATATAAAGGGTAATATACAACTTCAAGGATCGATATAAGTTGGGGTAACGATCATTAATTAAAAGAAAAATATGATAAAATCAAAGATTATCTACTTAAAGGATACGAATATGATGAAGAATATATAAAAAACAGGAAGGTGGTAATAATAAAGTATCAATAACCGATTGACTGTGAAAAATTAGGCATTATAGTTGTGATATGATAAGCTGCTACTGCATCTGTAGTGAAATCAACTTTACAGTATTGCTGTAATTTAGTCAAATTTTTAATTTAAGATAACTTTTAAAAAAAAACTATAAACGTTTCTCTTTGTCATACGTAAATCTGAGTATGATTTCAACTGAAGTGAAAATTATGTACTCGACAGTCCTATATTAATAATAATTGCACAAGGCCCATCTGTCCATTTAATTAATGTTAAATGAGCTCTAGTCATTTGACTCTTATTATCACGGACGTCAGTAATCTACAAAATAAAAGTTCATTAGGTTTTGTTGGAAACAACACAAAGAATAATGTTTTCAGGAATACATGTAGTGAAGAATACCGAGGATAGCTTTTTAATTTCAAAAGTAAGGCATGTTTTGGCACTTAGGACTTCAAAGATTTACCAAGCATTTTCTAAACATTTCTCTAAACAGACTATCCCCTAGTTATTTGAAGTAGACGTGCGCGATAACATGACTACGGTAGTAGGAACATCAATTTGTTACCAAATTTGAAGAATTACAACGTTTGTTGAAAGTAGACTCTTTATTAGATGTTTAGAAGTCTATTTTTTATTTGTCGTAGGGTCAAGGGACAGAGCGAAACGAACAGATTTCACACCACTAAAAATGTTATCCCCGCTTTTTATGCCCACCTTTATTTATATACGCCTTTTTGATGGTCACCCCTTTATAACCGCGGTATTTTGAGTGGATACCGTCTTACACAGATCATGTGACTCAAAACCGAATACTTAAATCCCTCAGTCAGTCATCTGCAACACAGAACCAGGCATAAATATGCACCGGTTCAGGTTGCCATACCCCATTAGCACAAGATGAACGCCGAACTCACAGAGACAGTTACTCTTGTGGCAACAAAAAAGATTCCATATAAGGATATGATACAGGTAGAAAGAATTAGTTCGTAGAAAGAAAGGTGTAGAGTAATCTTAATCTCACGGCTTAAGGGAATATAAAGAGTTTATATACTTTCGCGATTGTGATCAGCATGGCTCAGACTAGAAGTTAGTGACTTCAAGCACTGATGCCACGTTTTGGTTTGGCCGCCCCTAACTTTCTTCCAACCGTCTCCAACACTAGTCAGCATTACGCATCGTGGTAATCAGTGTTCAGGCATACGTAACACGTGGCCCAACCATCTCAGTCGATGAAGATTCACAACCTCACCAACTGATTTACCATCATTCCCTAATACTCTGCGTCTAACCTGACTATTACTTACCCGGTGATCGCAGCAGATGCTGGCAATATTTCTAGGGCATCTATGATCAATTACTGGTAACTTACGAGTATTTTCTACTCTTAATCTCCACGTCTCGCAGCCGTAAAGTAGAACAGAACGAACTGCTGTGCGGTATACCCGTCCTTTAATTGATAGATGGATATCTCACCTTCACTGTTCATGATCGTTCAGCAGACTTTTGGCTAACGTGTATCTGGTTTGTTTTCGCTCTCCATCATTTTCAGAACCTGACAGGATAAGTTTACGAGAGTATCAGGGCGATAAATGTTGCAGAAATCCACTGGTTTTCCGTAGCCTTTAGGTTTAGCTTACTATTAGATATCTCTGCTATTTCCACATCTGTTCGTATATCTTTCCAATCAATATCTGGGTCAGTCTCGTCTTCAGAACTCCCCAAGTATGCCTTCAGTTGTTCCTAGGATTTACCTTTGACTTTCTCGTCTCTGATGGGTCTTCTTAATAAATAAGTCCCGTTTTACCTGTTTTAGTTGTGTAGAGAGGTTAATAAGATTTCTGGATATAGATGTAATAAATGCTGTATCGATTTGAGGTGGAAAAGGCTGATATAAATTTTGTCGCAGAAATTATTTATACCGAAGATGGTTTTGCTTTAACTACCAAGCAACATTCATAATTCGTCTATGGTTCAATATATCTTCGAACATCACATATGAAGAAGTCATCTAAAAACTGCGTTGTTTCCCAATCATAAATCGATAGTTATTGGGTTGTGAAATCTCTACTTTCGATCGTAAGTTCGAATATCACAGCCAATCCCAGTTCTGAAAGCCGAGTTTTATTTGTATTTTCCATAGAATTCATTTTGGTGCATAACAAATCATAGGAATATCTACTTAGGTTCTGAGTTGCGTCGGGACTATTGAATAATTGTTATTCGATCTGTTATTGCGATTGCCATTGTTCGTAGTCCTAAAACCAATAAACAATAGATCCAAAGTCCTTTAAAAAAGTCAAGAGAACATAACTTCCCAATAATAATCTGATCTTCCTATATCTGTAATTTTTTGTCCTTACGTTCTTTAGTTAAAATATGACGGGTTGGTTATTTTAGATTAAAATTCTTGATTCTTAGCTACACCGGTCGCAGCTACTTTTACTAGATTGTTGTTGACCATGTTCGGAAAATAGGCGAAGTCAACTAAAGAGCTTCGTGACCACTTCTATTTAAAAATATGCTTATAATTTGTCTCTGTATCTTTTTAGTTTTATTCAATAGTGGAAACTTGTTTCTGTGTATATAAGGAATAAGATTCACAACCACTTTTATGACGAAATCATTTCATGAAAATGTATCACCGTTATTGATGTGACACTTTTCTGTATTTGTAAAATAGGTGTATTTTTATATTTTTGTATACACAATTACTCATCCATGTTTTTCAGAATCACGCGACAATTAACCCGCAATATATCTATAAAAACCCCTCGCCGTCTACCAGCTTCTGCCAAACGCCAATTCGGGGCACAGCCTCCACAACCCCCTAGCACTCCAACTTCCCATAGATTACAGGTTCCCATTGAGATGGATGAAAGTCAAACAACAGACATGTATCTTATCCCAAGTCCAAGACGTTCAATGCTTGGTTCGTTTCTAGGTGTAAGTCACTATTTTTCATATGTATTATATCGATATTACGGTGGGGTCAGATTTAAAATTGTTTGATTAGTAGTAGTATAAGTTACTCAGAAATATTTATTCAGATATTTTAAGATTGACAAAATAACCATTTACCAAGTGAGCCACTGCGATGAAGGAGTTTCGTCGTTGGTTTTGCTTGTCAGTCGGTCAGTCAGCTACAACGTAGGACCAGGCACATATATGCATCGGTCCAAGTTGCCATACCTCATTAACACAACAAGATGGACACCGGATTCATAAAAGTAGTTAATTCAGAGGTGGTAATATATAGAAGAAAGATTGCATATAGAGATATAGTACAGGAAGAAAGAATTAGTTCGTAGAAAGAAAGATATGAAGCGATTTTAATGTCTTAGTTTAAGGGAAGATAGAGAGTGTATACATCGACGCCATTATGATCGATTCTGAGCCATGTCACCAAGAGTCTCCAACCATTGGTTACGATAGTCACGCGGACCCCAACCAAGTAGTCTGCATCTACCAACATGGCTCAGACTAGAAGTTAGTGACTTCAAGCACTGATGACACGTTTTGGTTTGGCCGCCCCTAACTTTCTTCCAACCATTTCCAATACCGGATAGCATTGCACGTCGTGGTAATCGGTGTTCAGGCATACGTAACACGTGGCCCAACCATCTCAGTCGATGAAGATTCACAACCTCATCAACTGATTTACCATCATTCCCTAATACCCTGCGTCTAACCTGACTATTACTTACCCGGTGATCGCAGCAGATGCTGGCAATATTTCTAAGGCATCTGTGGCCAGATACTAATAGCTTACGAGTGTCTTCCACTCTTAATGGCCATGTTTCGCTGCCGTAAATTAAAACAGAACGGACTGCCGCGCAGTATACTCGTCCTTTTATTGATAGACGGATATCTCGCCTTCGCCATAGGTGACGCAAGTTGGCAAAAGCCAATCGAGCTTTTCGAATCCGTGCTGAGATTTCGTCCGATACCAACTCATTAGGGCTGATCAGACTTCCAAGATAAGTGAAGTTGTCAACGCGTTCGACTACTTCACTCCCTATCCTTAGTTCAGGTGCTGACGCAGACCAATCCTGAAGCAACAACTCTCATTTAGAGGGAGAGAAGCGCATTCCAAACATTCTGGCATTGTTGCTCAGTGCTACCAAAAGATTCTGCATTCTATCAGCGTCTTCACCAAACAGGACTATGTCATCTGCGTATTCAGGGTCGCTAAGTGGACCTCCTGGAAGGAGACCAATACCCGAGATTTCAGTAGACGAGAATGTTATTTCCATCAATAAGTCTATGATGAAGTTAAACAAAAATGAAGAAAGTGAACAGCCTTGACGGATACCACTTGAGGTTGCAAAAGCAGATGACAGTTCGCCATAAGCTCTGACTCGATTGGTAGTGTTCGAGTAAAGAGCCTTCACAAGGTTTATGTACTTCTGAGGTACGCCTTTCAATGACAGACACTGTCACAGAATCTCGCGGTCTACCGAGTCAAATGCTGTTTTCAAGTCAAGAAAGACCACCATTGTCGGACGCCGATAAGTATGCCTATGTTCTAGAACCTGACGAATGGTGAATATGTGGTCGATGCAGCCATGACCAGGTCTGAAGCCAGCTTGAGTCTCTCGTGCTTGCAGTTCACGAGTCTTAGTTAGGCGTCTGATAATTATCGAGGCTAGTATTTTAGATACTATATTTGTTAAACTAATCCCTCTGTGGTTGTCACAGGATGATTTTAACCCTATCTTATATATTGGGACGATAAGTGATTGTAACCAGTCAGATGGAATAACGTCTAACTTCCAGATCTTAGCTAAAATATTAGTCAACCTAATCGCTAAAATTGGACCACCATCCTTAAAGACCTCTGAAGCCAATCCATCTGGACCATCTGCCCTTCCTCGTTTCAGATTAACTATAGTCTTTTGAACTTCTGCTAGATTTGGGGGACCTACTTCAATGTTCCATTCACACTGTCTGGGAATGGAGGGTAGTTGTAGAGTAGCTGAAGGCCAGCTGAACTGTCCTCTGAAATGTTCCGCCCATCGTTCTAAACGTCTAGACTGAGAGCAGATGAGGGTGTCGTCTTTGTCCGAAATAGTCTGACTTACACTTGACTTATTAATTCCAGTTTCTTTTATTAGTCTGTAGAGCTGTCTTGTGTTCCCTATAGCCGCCGCCTTTTCCATCTCTTTTGCTTTCGTTGCCCACCACTGCTCACGGTCGTTTCCTAGACTTTTGCTTAACCTAGACCTGATTTGTTTTCGCTCTTCATCATGTTCAGAATCTGATGGGGTGGGTTTACGAGAACCCATCAGTGCAATAGACGTAGAGGAAATCCATTGCTTCTTTGTAACCCTGTGGTTTAAATCACTGATAGATGTCACTGCTGTTTGTATAGCTTTCCAAGCAACATCTGGGTCAGCCTCGTTTCCAAAACTACCTAAGTGTGACCTCAGTTGTTCCTGGAATTTACTTTCGGTTTTCTCGCTACTCAATTCAATTCTAATGGGTCTTTTTAATGTGGCTGTTTTGCGTCCAGTGAGGCGCAAGCAGATGCGTGCCCGTATTAGGGCATGATCGGAGTCCAAGCAGGTACACCGGAATGAGCGACAATCTTCTACCAACCCTCTCCAACGATGACTGATGGCAATATGGTCTATTTGAGTCCACCGTTGGTTTGGTGTAGGGGGTCGCCATGTTAGACGATGTCTCTTCTTATGCTTAAAATTTGTGTTTGTTAAAAATAAACGATTGTCTGAGCACAGTTGCAGCAGACGATCACCATTATCTGTTCGTTGTGGCGGAATGCTAAAATATCCACCTAATTGCCTTTCTGTTTGGTTTAAGCTACCTATCTGAGCATTAAAGTCACCTGCTACGAGTACTATGTCTGAGCGTTTAGCTTTCTGAAGAAGTTCGGACAGCTTTCTGTAAAATTCATCTTTCACATCATCTGAGCTGCAGTCAGTGGGAGCGTAGGCAGAAACGACGAAAGGCAACGACGTGTGTCCCTATCCTTCCGAGTTCTTACGGAGCCGTTTAGCCGAACAGCACATAGACGACTGTTGACGGGGATCCACTCTAGCAGTGCTTGTTCCGCCCTCAGGCTTAGTGCTATCCCTACTCCTGCCAGTCCACGAGAGCTGGCCGTCGGGTCACCAGGTACACGGAGGGTGTATCTCGCTGGCTCTCTGTTTTGCCGAGGTGAGGTAAAGTGATTGACCACACTGGGATCCTGTATGCGTGTTTCAGAGACACAGTATACATCAATGGTACGAGATTCTAGGGTTCTAACCAAGGAAGCCTGTTGACCGATTTGACATAGGGTGCGTACATTGAAGGCTCCAATGTGTAGTTTGGAGCGAGGTTTCAGTAGACCTGGGACAGTGTTTCGAGCACCAGAATCGATGGTTATGGTGACACTTGAGGGGGAAGCCGGGAAAAGAAGTTTAAAGGTGAAAGTCGATGTAGGAGGAATAATAGGAAGTGAAGAGGGAGGTTGATTATGAATACAGTGGTCTTGAGTGCTGTTAGAGGTATGAGTGCGGTTATCACTTCTAACCCCACCCCTCTCCTTGTAGGAAGGCAGCATCGCTGTCATGCTGGTTGTCTGAAGGAAACACCTTACTGCTGTCACACCTCTGTACAGTCAGCAGTACGACTTCGCCTTCGGACCTTGGGTTTGTTGCTCGTAGTCTTACCGCTCTTCAACCGACCTGTCTGACATGGTAGGACTTTGGGGAGCAGTTGTTCCAGCCAGTATAGCTCGGTTGCTTCATCACGATGGGCAAGCCTGACCACCACGTCAAGGTAGCAACAACGGTCGGGATGGGGCCGCTAACCCTGTGCTCGACCCTCCTTTACCCGGGCTTGGTGCCGGCAGTAACTTTGAGAGAGCTACAGGCGGAGTTATAGATAAGCCTTACCAACACGCTATGCTAGCTGTTACATTCTAATCATCACATTTCTTTACGCAAACTTGTAATCTGTTTTCTGGTAAATAATATTATTTCAAGCGCTTTGTTGTTTGTTTTGTGCTCGGTTTGTTGACTATCTTTAATGTTTGAAATATGAATAAAACATGATTACATACGATCTTTTCATCAATTTATCAAAAGATGTTTCTTTTTATGTATTTTTAGTCATCTTGTACATCATTAAGCAACTTCCTAAACACAGCCTTGCGTACTAATAACAATCTAAATAATATTAATCATGGAAATTCCGCGCTCAATCGTGCTATGCTACCTCCTAGTCGTTTAGCTATGACGCCTAAACCGATTCGACGTCTTCTACCTCGTTCATCCAGACAAAATTCATTCGATGATCTTGATTTAAATGATGATGATGATGATGTTCCTTTCTCTCAACTTGGAAGTTCTCTTCTTAGTTTAACAAGTCTAGACAGTCTCTCTACACTGGATAATCCTGTTAATCGAGTTGATGTTATTTCTAACCGCAATACTCCTAATCTTAAGTGCCGTGCCGGTAGTGCTGTTTGGGAGTCTGCAAGTCATCTTGGTTTCAGTACATCAGATGATGTTCGTCATTCATTCAGATCGCCATCCGGATCGTTTCTTGGCGGTTTTGATGAAGGTTGCTCTAGAAAGCATGGTAAAAAGCAGAAAAAACCGAAACTTCGTGCTGTAAGTCAAATGTTTCAGAGATCTTCAATTATGGTTAAAGCAAAAGAGTCAAGGAAAATAGGCTCTGAAAAAATTGACGCTGAGTTAAATTCTCAAAATTCCCTTCCTAGTTCCCGCCGTGACAGCTTATTTCGTGGTCTGTTTTTCAGAAAAAATTAATTTCTTATGCTGCCATGTACACATTAATATTCTCATCTTGTTTGACCGAACACATTTGTTCGCTTGTATAAAATTTCATTCAAGACAAATTTTTATAACAGTAATACTACTAATTATTTGCATTTTACCATATAGTGATATATGCAATTAATTACAACGGTTTATTCTTCGTAATCGCCTTCTATAAATTCTTAGTTATATTTTTATCTAAATTCGCATAATAGCTTTTAATGTTTTACTAAATGTATCTCACGCTAGGAGGCATTCAGAGATTAACTGCTACTTGCTGTTTATATTCAAGCGCGAGTGTCATTCACCAAATCACATGGATTGATGTTGTTACAAATAGAATGATTTTCGAACTACGTAATGAGTGAGCATGTCTACTACTTGGGAAGCTTTGCGGTGGATATAAACGTCAATATACGGTACGTGTATCAAAATCAAATCACAATCTGAAAGATAGAGGTGGCTCGACTTTCAAACACTAAGCCCTAGGTTCAAACCCACCCTCATATACTTTATATTAGACAGTTTGCTTGTATCACTACCCCCTAGTCAGTTGGTCATACGAAACGTAGAACCTGACACTTATGTAATTTGATATAAGTCTTCACACCCTATTAACGCAGTATGATAACATCAAGGCAAATCGTAGAGTAGTTGAGGTAATAACTATTAGTGGTAATAGTACAGGTGGAAAATTTGAATTAGTGGAGTTGAAACAAATTTCTAAATTAATTTAGAAACTGAGGAACTAAAAAAGGGAAATAGTGAGTGCCTATGCACCATTCTATAGGGTTCTGGGGTATGTCCCCGGACTACTCTAACCACTGGTTACGATAATCTTGTGGACTCCCAACCAAGTAGTCCACATATACTTACACAACTCAGTTCAACCTTCTGTACCTTCATGGAGTGATATTATACCTTTGTTTGGCTACCAAGTAGCTTTATAACTTTCTTCTACAGAAGCCATCATTATGCTTCAAGGTAGTCGGTTGATGGACATACGTGATATATGTCCTGTACCTGTCGGTCGATGGAAATTCACTACCTCATCAGTAAGTTTACCATCCATACCTAAAACTTTTAGTTTAACAACAGTTGTAATTTCTTTGTTGGTTTTGGTGATCATAATTATTTTGTCCTTTTATGAACATAGATTTCTCATTTCATTTTTCGAAGCGTCATTTGGAAGATGTTTTTATTGTTATGATATGAGATAATTGGGTTTGATGCATTTGGGAAGGGATTGTTTTTTCTCTTGGAAGGTTTTTAGTCATCCTAAAGAAGTGGATAGTAAATTTTGTTTAGATTTCGTAGCTGTGTCACAAATAAACATATCGTTGATACAGGTCATTCAGTGGATCTAAATGTGATTGAGTATGTAGTACAGTGGTAGATCTTAATGTTGTGTGGTGGGTGTTAGCCTTATTCCTTTCGTATATATATGCAGATTATCACGTTGCACCCCCCCCATATGTAGCTTGTCTTGTTTCGATTTTAGTCTAAGAATTATTTATGGTTTAAAGACTAGTTATAATATGGTATCAATTTAGGCGCCATGACTTACGAGTTATGGTGATATTAAGACCTACTACAAATTCCTAGTAACTGTATGTTCTATGACATCAGACCATATCATTACAATTTTTCGAGTTCGTTAAAGTTATATCTTGGTGTGAATCAAAATAGAAGGAAATTCAGTTGTATAAACCATCATATACTAATCTTGTTAAACGGCCGTCCAACGATTTCAGGTTTTCATTAGTGGTCTAAAATTTATCAGTTTACGATCTCAATAAAAAGAATACTGATGTTACATATGGAAAGGTTTTATTTGAAATAACTGACGATATAAGACATCTTTATTCTGAGTAGTGGTTGTTTTCATTTGGGTTTCTTCTTTTCTGTACCTACAGAACTCAGTTTCGATCGAATTGTTAGTGTTATAGATAATCCGAACTTGGCTAACTATATACCATCGGTTTATTCTAGCCATGTCATTTAACATAGTCTTTCTAAATAAGATCCATAAGATGTATTTATGGGCCAGAAATCGAGCATAGTCACAAAGTCGCACTTTATCTTCACCTAAATCTATTCTATTTACCTGTTTCTTAGTATCTTCCTTCTTACTAATCTTAACTTTTTTCCGTTTTGTATCAATGCACTGCATTTATTTTTGAAAAAAAATCACGTTTGATCTTCGTTTCTTGTTGTTCTAGCTACTTTCCACTCAGTACCGTGATTGGCATCGTTAGCATAGCCGTCTAATTCTAGTACTCATATATTTATTTTCAGTTCTTTGTAAAAAAGTGTCAAGAGAAAAATTGTCTGTATTGATGTCTCAGTAAATTCTAAGATATTTCAATGAATTAGTCGGTTATTTTTCAGCGTTTATTCTGTACCATATATACTAAAATTATTCTTATGTTTGTTTTATTGGGCAAAAGAAGATTATGAATTCAGTTACTTAAGATAACAAAAGCATAGATAAAAAAATTCCTAATTATTTTGTTAGGAAAACAATATTATTTATTACTTTGGAATTGATCATTATCTGAAATGTGATGTTGTCCGTGTTTTGATCGACACAAAAAAATGTACAAAAGAAGATGATTACTTCAATATTATGGGATTCACACAAATTCTACAGTGTTATGTGCTTTTTTTAAAAATATTCAACATTGTTTTACTTATCCAGATTATTGAAAAAGTAGTTAACCTACAAGAAATTCAGAAAATATTATAGAATTTAGTTTGATAAAATCACAGATTTATAGAAATGTAATTGTATATCTAGGTATCCAGACTACATAATATTGACATTGGTTGATCACGAAATATGGATCATTTGACCAGAAAACATTAAAATCAATTTCCCACTGTAATTTCAAATGATCTAATTTTATTCAACGTTTTCTCGCGTTTTATGTATTGGTAAAAGGTAGATTGAGGCGTACTTGATCATTCTTAAAAACTATCCATTGCGATAGACCATATATATATATATATCTTTCCCGTTTATACTGCTAATTTGGTATTTTAAATGATTCTTCTATTTTTGATAATTCTTATTCCATCTTACCTTCCTCTTTTGCATGCTCCCCTTTGAAACTTGATTTATTTTGAACAATTTGTCTATTTCCATTATTCATGAAATTCTAATTGAATATATACTGGCGGAATTTCAGCACAAATTGCAAAATATTGCAACAAACTATTTTTAAACTATATTACCTGAGCTTAGTTTATAGTATCTTTTTCATAATATTACTCATTATTTTGACCTTATTGTTTTTCATCCTGTCATTTTGTTGTGAATGCACTTATAAAGTATGGTAATTTGAGCTCAGATATGCCAAGTTCTAAGCTTTTTATGATTGATTGAATGATCATATTGTATTGTTTGGATCTCCCGATAGTGTCTCCAGAAGCGAGAAAAATGGTTAAAACATTTCGTCCAGTCAACATATACCACGAAGACTTCTAAAAAACTAATGGATTATAAATATCACATTCTAATTTGCTGATTACTTACTCTCTTATCTAATTTAATTATACAAGCAGAAGTTTCCATAGGTAAAAGTCTGACACACACAACCTATAAATAGTTCTGTTTCTTGTACATTAAGGGACCTGAGAGTAAAGCTTCAATTCTCACTTTTCCCTATTTTCTTACTTTCGAGGCTCAAGTGTAGAAGAAGCCTGGTGATCCAAGAAGCGGATGCTAAGTCAGTATTAACCCTTTAAGTATCAGACCTATCGTACACCAAATTCGACTGGTAAAATTTTCTTTTAAAACCGGGAAATAACTTGTATACGAAACGATATATTCTTATCTAAGTGTTATAAAAAAAGAATATGCTTAGTAGTGAGAAATCTAAAACAGTCAAATAGTTGTTGATTATTTCTGAATTTTCAGCCATAAGAGATCTAGTTGGAATATCATCAGAATCATCGTAAACCTGTTAAATCACATTTCTCATCTTTTGAAGCTTATTCAATAATAAGGGATTTAAAATAGTTTTTATAACTATCCAAATGCGTTTATAATCATAATTATTATAATTAGTTATGTGTGTCTGTTTTGTTTCTTCCACCTCAATTTACCAAACATTTTCATTTTAAGCTCAGTTTAATGAATGAACGAAATCGAAAAATTCTAACTGCTATTTATTGTTGGGGTCGTTAAATTTCATAGCTTAAAATCGAATGTAGTTGCATTCATTCTTGATCGAAGTCTTAAATTTTACTGGTGTTTCATACTTTGTTTCTTGATTTTATTTCTTCTTTCGAACCAGGTTTCTTACGTTTCAGTTGATATTGTTTCCCTTCCTTTGACACATCTGACTTGAGGTGTTGGAGTTTAAACCGATGCACAGTTGTGCTAGGTGCTACTTTGTCAGTGGCTGACAGTCAACTAACATGAAAATAAACAAGAGTTTAGTATATTTTTTCACGATAGTATCATCAGAAATTTCACATCCTATACAGATAAAACTTTTGTTTTATTATTAATAGTAGTATCATTACCATAAAATATTGAAGGGATATTTGATAATCACAATAATTAAATATCAATATGTATGAGACATGAAATAAAATAACGTATTTACTTCACGTTCAGTATCCTCAGGTAAGTCGGTACAATGAATAGCATTCTTGACTTTATTAACTCCAAATCTAGCTCTTAGTGTATCCGGTCGTAAGTACTTTGCGATTTCCTGTTGAAAAAAAAAAAACACCAACTTCAACAAATAAACTTTCCAAAGAGATTTCTTCTGGATAATTTCGATGGAATACCAAGAACCTAGTTTATACGCTTGTTGGAACTCACCACCAATACATACCTGTAGATTTTAAGTAATTGGGGATTTTCCTGAAGTTCAGATCAACACTAAGTAAATGATATCATGAACGTTTCTACAAGCTAAATATTAATAAATTTGCAAGCGTTTGAGTAGATTTGACAGTTCATATACGTAACTAATTACTGAAAACAAATCAAAAACAGTTGAAATATGAATGGTCCATAAGTTCAATCAGGCTCTCATTGAGAAATAAAACTTGTTTGTTTCGTCACAGTGTATATTCTAAATTCCATATCCATTAGCCAGACTTGTTTCATTATCATAGGGTTGCTTTAGAAATCAACAGAGTGTGAGTTATCTTGAAGTCAACTATTCATATTGCTGCCTCCAATCTCATAGATTGTTTTATCTGACTTTATTTTATGGAAGATTCACTTATAACTCTAGGTATCTGTGATTTGAGATATATTTTTCTTCCTTTCTCATGTTGACTCGTTCTTTACCAAATATTTAGTCCTTTATAACAAACTTCAAGTGATTAAAACATTGAGTCATGCTTTTGACATAAAAATAATAAACTGTTAGTGAAAAAATGTATTTAGAACTTTAATAAGTTGCAATTTCAGGAAATTGGTGATATTGTTATTAATTAATTATTTTTTCGTCAGGAATTAAGTCAATTACTTTGAGGCAAAAATAGATCTTAACCATCATTATTGGTAAGCACGAACACACATGTAAGTTATAGACTAAACTTTTATCTGAAGCAAATTGAAAGACGCGGAGCTGAAACGATAAGTGAGTTGCGTCATGTACTGTTAATTCTACCACACATAATTGATGTCAAAAAGTACAGAAGTGATAAATGGATTTATTAATCAACAATGAGGAAAATCCACTAAATAATATTCGCAAAAAAAACTCACTGGGTCTATTGGTCCAGCAAACTCGCGGAAAGCTTGATGGACATTTACATTGGGGTCCGGAATATCTATTTCCAATGCTATACAGGGCCCTGAAGACAGATGATCCAACATTTCTGGATATTCTTGTACTACACCTTTATAGACCTCTAAAAAATCAGCTGAATCTGCTTTTGATAAACGATGCAAACTAGCTGCAGTCACACTAAATCCTTTTTCTGTAATTGCACTCCAAATTTTCCCAGTAAGACCTACAACATGAATAGGATTTGCAACCACTTAGTAAAGTTGTAAACATGAACGAATTCAAAGAGTTTACATGCATGAATCGTGAAACGTAGCCTATCATTTTTCGCTTGAAATTGACTGGTTTATGGAACATTAATTTGTCATTTATCTTACGGTTTGTGATACAGAGTTCTGAATTGAAAAGAAACCTAGCTATTCACCAGTCAAATTGGATTTAGGTCCACACATAATGTCTGATGAATGTTTTCTTTTAATTGTGGATTATTATTTAAACTTCACAAGAGTTAGCTACAATATACAATGCAGTTTTTGTAATCACCAAAATGTAAAACACTGTGACAATAAGCATTTAAAGACTGAAAATACTGAGCATTAAACTAAAGTGGTATAAAATCACATTTAAATGTATTAATGATTTTGTTACTTGCTCAATTGCGAGACAATAAACCAGACTACGTAGTAATGGTATTAAATAAATGAACTCAGCTCACATGAATGGATTGATCCAAAGGTTATATATGATTCCATTAGTAGTGTACACCTAGAAATAAAATCCTTAAACCAGTATGCCCTTTCAAAATTTTATGTAACAACAGTTACTTGACGTACTTTAGAGGTTCATGTTTTAATCATAAATATCTCGCCGAAATATTTTTTTACTTGTGTCAAGAAAACTTCAGAAACATTTGACTCCTTATTTATTGTGTAAATATTTCTGTAAAATCCTCTAAAACAAGTCTTCACGATTCATAGTGTGTAGTTTGGGCTGAAACAGTGTCACTCCAAACATTGGTTTTTCAAAGTTTAATGATGTATAAACGGATATTTAATACTGTTTCTTATCCTTACTCAGAGGTGTTTGTCTTCTTGTGAATGGTTTAGTCACTCGCAACTGAAATAAAGTGGGGAAAGAAAAAAGTATCTACATATAATGTACACTTGGCCTTCAGTCCTCCAGGTGCATATTAAAGTGTGATTTGCAATCTAGTTAGTTCTTAACTGACTCCTTTCCTGGGATCCACGTTTCTTTCTCCACCGCGATTTAAAATACATTAACTTTACGTAAACAAATGAACTAAATTACCGTCAGATACTGCGTGTGGTCGTATAACGCACAATGTTGTGTTCTTTAGTAATGCTGCTCCATGGAAATTTGGTCCACCAGGATTTCCAAATATTTTATGGGCTAGTTTTAATGAGTCACCGACATTTGATGTGATCATGAACAAATCAGGATTGCATAAAATGTTTTCGCTAGTTTCTTTTGATCCATAAATAAATTCATGTAGGAGTGAGCAAACATTTGTACCCATTACTTCCAAGGCGATAAGATTCTTTCCAGTCAGTTCGCTTAATAGTGTACTGAATAAAGCAAACATTTTGAGAAGTGCTTTCATTTGGCATAAAGGTCAGTAGTTGTTTAAACAGATAGGGATTACTGTGGACCTCGAAATCTACCAACTCACTTTATTCATCAGAATGCACTTGTTTATGCGTTTCATCCAACTATGTACATAATTGTGAAGCCTAGGGAATGTCGAAGAACTAGAGACAGCTGTACAGTAGACTAAATAATTCATTTTGAGCACTGGATGACAGTTTTGAGTACCACTTCTACTTTACTATACGTAGCCATGTAATACCTCTGGCTATTAAACACAACATTTATTCAGAGACTTCGGATAATATAACTGAGGTAAAGAAACTGGAGTTACTGACAAAGACATGAGGCAACCAAGCATTTATTAACCGATTTTTATGGCATCAATACTGGGACATATTTAAACAGCAACATGGTAAATAATAATATAAACTCCAAGTTATTAACATACACTGCCTGAAAGTGATAGAAACATAATCATGTATTAATCTATATTCAAATCCAACTTGTAAATCGAGGCACTCAAGTTTTCAAATTGTATAATTGGAATGTTTTTTGGATCTATCTAAATGCTCACATCAGTTCAGTTTTTCACCATTGTATCCAAGAACTTGTAGCTGACGACTCTAACGCTACCTTTTTATCACTTTCATTATTATAGTTTTCATGCTTAAGTTTTTACAGTTACTAATTTCTCGTAATCCCGTGAACTAAAGCATCTTTACCTAGTAAATAGATTTGTAAAGTCCAACTTTTTTTCCATGTCTCTGTTTGAGTAAGTTATTGGTTTATGCTATCATACAGAAAAAACGTATAACATATTAACCATTCAAAATAGTACCAACGGAAAAATAAGCCCTTCAGCTAATAAGAGTTAATCCAATGGATTACATTATTAACCTAGTTTTAATGTAAAAGCTTATTTTCTGTTTTGGCAGGATAACGTTAGTTAGTGTTAGCAATGATTTCAGCAGTTAATGCTGGTGTAACTTATCTAACAAATTAAGGTTCATACATCCATTTATTTTTGAGAGCTATCACATTTACTTTATTTCTCAGAGTTGTTGCTAACAACGCAATTGATAATATTTAAACACCAATATTTCTAGTGCAGTGTAGCATCCTTGAAATTAAAAAATATATAATAAGCTAGTAGATAAGGATAAGAAGTAACATCAAAGTAATTCGAATAGAGTAAAGTGGGTAATATAATACAATGTAATGACATGTAATATTCAATATATCGCATATAATGCAACACAGACTTTTTGTAATAATTATCATACCTTAGTTTTTATTCCAGTTAGTCATGGTTTTATCGACAAAATATTTTTAAACAGATGGTAATGATTTGCATGTAACAAAAGTATGGCACTTTCAAAGTCTTATTTTTAACAGAAGGTTAGTCATCGTAAATAATTGACACTATGGTGAAAATGGTTTTATCATGGCATATATTCTGAATGAAAGGCCTACACTACTTTTATACAAAAAATAATGCATATTTTAATCATAAAGTTTGTTCAGAAAAATTATCAAACTTACGTCATGTTTGAAAGGCTCGTTTTGCTATATAAAATAGATTTTAATTCATCCGATATTAAACGCACCATTTTTAGATTAATGATTCGCAGTGATTTGTCCTCCATCATTGCGATTATTTCACCAGCCCTGAAAACAGAGGCCGGAGGGATAAAAACAACACATCTTTGCAACAAATATAATGAAAAAAGTTAATATTTACCTTTCTGAACGACCTAAAAATTCACGTTTAGTGAACTCATCTCCATAATCAACAATCTTAAGAGAGCGAGAAAGTATAGTGACTGTACTGCCCAGATAAAAGTCAAAAAGTTTCAGCCCTTCAATCCTAGTGGGTTTAAGAAAAAGCCTATTAGTTTTCTCTTCATGCTTCAGGAGAAATAAAGAAATCAATGATGAATACCATTTCCACGGAAGAACTCTTCGTATGATATATCAGCTGAAATCTTTTGATCAAAGATGATATCGCATCAAACCATTCAACCAAGAAACAGTATGATGGGTCGGTTTTACTCTAAAGATATTAATAAACATATAAGTACTTACCATAGTCTGTAGTGTTTGACCTTTTGTGTATTTTTGGTTAACTTTAGAAAAATTTACTTGCTGGGGGAGTTTAAGGAGCAATGTTCAAAGAAATCTGGAAAAAAATAAAGTGAAAATGTTAACCGATGACTTAGTAAGATCATAGGATGCACTGACATCCAGAAATGAGTTCTATCGACAACAATAAAAAATAATACAAGTATGGAACTAGAACAATCTGCTAGTCGAGATTAAAATCTGATGGGATAATGTTTTTACAACGTTACTGTTCGTACTTTTAAATTAATGCACGTAATCGTCTAAGTGATAATACTACATTTAGTCAGTCAAACAATCGTACTTCCCTTCAAATGTTCAGATAACGCACGACGCAAAAGTGTTATTTGCGGAAAAATTAACAATAAATAGACTTTTTGATAAAATAAGGTACCTGATCTCTAACCTTTGGGACTTCCAGCTTGTTTGTCTGAATTTTTCGGAACATTTCATCAAACAAATGGTTGTGGACGGAATAGAAGAAGCTTTCGCTTAACAGGCTTCCGTGTCTAGTTGCAGGGGATCACCAAATCCTCCAGGCAGGAACCTAGGTATGTTAACAAAAAAGAGGAAAAGAAATTGGTAAATCATAGTGTGATGCTGTCCTTGGTCTTTAAGAATAGGTCAAGTTGCCTCTTGAAGGACTCCTGAGAAGTCACTTGGAATAGCTCGGCCGGCAGCGAATTCCAGCATTTGACAACTCTTAAGGAGTAGAAGTTGTGTCTATATTCCGTCTTGCTATGTTGTGTTTCCAGTTTCTGGGTGTTACCCCTTAGGTTATTATTCGAACTAAGCTTAAGTAGGTGTTTAAGAGGATGTCCAGAATTGTTAAGAATACTATAAGCCATTAATAAATCACCTCTAAGACGCCTATACTCTAATGAGTAAAGGTCTAGTGAATGGAGGCGTTCTTCGTAAGATTTAGATTTGAGTCCTCGAACTGATTTCGTGGCTCGCCGTTGGATACGCTCCAGGGTGTCCATATCCTTTTGGAGTTAGGGAGGAGATACTATGTTTCCGTACTCTAAATGGGGACGGATGAAACTATTGAAGATTGTATGGAAAGTTCGTCCGTCAAACTGTCCGAAAATGCGCTTCAACGTTATCAGTGCAATGTTTGCCTGGAAGGCATTTTTGTCACAGTTAGCGTAAGACTTTAAATCATGAGGCACCAGGACTCCTAAATCTTTTTCGACTTGGGATTCTACTAGAGAGGAGTTTCCTAAGTTGTAACTGTAGTTTGCGACATGTCGCAGATGGACTACTTTACACTTTGAAGTGTTAAAGGTAAGTCAGTTATCGTCTGCCCAACTTTGAAGTTGAGTCAGATCCTCCTGAAGTGCCTGTATATCGTCTTGGTTGCGTATCTCTCTCCAAAATGTCACGTCGTCGGCAAAAAGTAATAAGTCTGACGTCACCTGTTGAGGAAGATCATATGTGTAGATCAAGAATAGAAGAGGTCCTAGTACTGAGCCCTGGGGGACCCCACTAGGACATTCCATAGCCTGAGATGAAGTGAAATTAACTCTAACCTTAAAGTATCGATTTTTCAGATATGAAGTAAGCCAATCGATTAGAGGTGGTTTGATACCTAGTCGTTTGAGCTTATTGATAAGACACAAGTGGTTAACCTTATCCTAAGCTTTTGAGAAATCAAGGTAAATGATATCAACCTTTCCCTTGCGATCGAGGATGCTTGTCTATCTGTCCACCGCAGTTAGCAGGTTGGTTATACAAGAGTAACTCATCCTGAAACCATGCTGTTGGGGTGAGAAGAAATTTAAGGACAGTAGATGATCGTTTAAACCGTCGCATATCAGGGACTCCATGAATTTTGAAGGTAATGACAGAAGAGCCACCGGCCGATAACTTGAAGGTTCATTGCGTCGACCACTGTTGTGGATGCAGAGGAATAGACCAATAATTATCATGTTAAGTCCAATGGTGTCCTTGGACTTTAAATGGACATTTCCTATTGGTCGATATCTGTTCACTTGTTGAATATTGTACAAAATGTTGTTTTCTATTTTATGGTACGATGTGGTGTGCTTGATTGGTATATAAACAAAGTATGTTTGAAATATAATGATTCATATCTCCGAGGCTGTGGCTTGTGTTCTGGACTCAACTGGCTGGGCTGGACAGGGAAGCAGGACCAATCAGAACTGTAGGCCGTCCGTTCGTGTTTACGTGTCACTGTAGTCGATCGATAAGTACGCTGCTCTCTAATTTTCCAGTCAAGGACACAACAACTAGCACAGGGTAAAAATCGACAGCAACTTAAAGTCATAACAACCACCTTTGAAAATTGGTGTGGTGAGCCAACTTCCAATTTTCCGGTAATTTACCTCGGCTTAGCGAGTGTGAAAACATCACGCTAAGCGGCGTTGCCAGGATTGAGGCTGCCTCCCTCAGTATAGCAGGATGAACCATATCCGGGCCAGGAGAAGTATTTAATCTTAAGTGTTGCAACTTACAGAACACCCAGTCAGCGCTTAGGTTCACTTCGGAGAGCCCTGTGGAATTGCAGATGAAACTGTCGTCAGTAACGTTGATGTCAGCCGGTTGAAATGTTTGAGAGTAATGTGCCGCCAGAATGTTAGCGGCATCGCCATCGTTGTTGGTCGGGCCGTTAAGACCTAGCAGTTGAGAAACTCCTGTTTTGGCTTGACGAAGAGAGGCTGCATAACGGAATAGGCTTCTAGGGTTAGAGGTAAATTTGTCCATAAGCTTTGTCTGGTACTGAAACCTGTCTTCTCTTATAGCCTTCGTGCATATGTTCCTGATATGTTTATATTGTCTGTACGCTCCGTCGTTATCAGTTCGTTTGTATTCCGCCCAACAGTGCCTTTTGCGGCTTAGCAGGCGAAGGGTACGGTTCTTGATTACTGTAGGTGGCTTGCAGCTTTTGGGAACCGTTTGAGGAACTGAATGGTTTGTAGCAAATAAGAGCGTGTGCAGTAAGAAGTCCCAATGACCGTCCACATCGAGTTGAGGGTGAACATCCCAAACCACTTGTTGTAGATAGTCATGTAGAGCTGGCACATTCAGCCGTTTAAAATTCCAACGCAAATTATTGTTGGGATACCTTAGCTTAGTTTTGATGACAAAACTGAAGGCTATGACGGCATGATCGCTCTTTCCCAGAGGAGCCAGGATTGAGAGGTTGTCAACTAGGAATTCTTCGTCTGTGAATACACAGCCTAAGCGCGATGGTGTCTGACTGTTTCTCCAACGAGTTACCGACCTCACGTTTCCATATAAGCCCAAGTCATCGATGAGGTTGAAGAACCGAGCTTCAATTGAGTTGTCGCCACCAGTGTACGTGTGTTCCGCGAAGTTGACTCTAGGGGGATTAAAGTCCCCTAGAATCAGGATGTGTGTGAAACCGAGACGGGTAGAGCGGGATAGTCCTTCCAGTATATGACTATCGTACTCGGTGTCGGCAGTTGGCTTCCTGTAAATGACTCCAACTAGACACCTCGAAGTACTAGACAGTCTAACAGAGCACCATATGGGTTCCTCAAGATTGTTAAACTCGAGGTTGTGAACTTGGTGCACCTCCAAGCAAGAACTTATGTATATGGCTATTCCGCCCCCAATTCCTGTTTTTCTGTCGTTGTGGAACAAAGTCATCCCAGGTAATGCTAACTCTTGGTCCGCGAACTGAGAAGATATCCGGGTTTCAGACATTCCAGTTTGTTTGGTAGACTCGTGGCGTTCATATATAATCAGTTTATGCTTTCAATTTGGAACGCGTGAGCTTCGTCCTGTTTTTCTGCATGAGCCTTTTGTGAATGGACAGGTAGCCCACCTATATGAGGTTTGCCGAGGTGGTAGGCTCTGTCCTTTACACGTTTTTTTTTATCATTTAGACAGTCCACAAGTGGAATGGTCAGCTCCAACTTGCTTTTGTGTTTGGTCCTAGCTTCATATGGCCTATCCGGGTGCATGTGGTTTCCAGTGACTGGATGTATACAAAGTTGCATCCCTTTGCTTATATGACTCAGTTCAATTAACTGTCTTGTCGTTTCAACATGATGCGACTATCTAATCTATGAGATCTTACGCGGAAGTAAAATCACAGTCTCTACTGATTCGTCCTATGTGATCATCAGCAGTATGATGTTCAGCACTTCTGAGGAAATTATTTGGGTTGTAGACAGAAAAATATATTTAATGTGAACTGGGATGCGTTTCGCAGAATAACCGTGCCTGCAAAGTTGAGACATGCTATACCAATACTTTATTCTCCCTTTCATCATTGCTAAACTACTCTGTGTTAAATGTTGGATGTGAATTTTCTCAGTTATCTTGTATTCAACTTCAGTGATCATGTGGTTGGGAGACGATACTTCTGCACAACTTCATCAGTCGGGATACACATGCGATGAGTTCAGATAAAACTGGTCCCACTCTGCAACACTCGATCGATGTCTTCATGTAACCTGACTTACGATCCAGCACACATGTTTTCATACGTTGTGGCTCATTATACAGACGCCAAAAGATTGTATACGGGATACCTTTTAATGTTGTCCATCAAGAAATTAATTAATTAAAGTCAACTGTAGTATTTCATTCTTTTCCAAGACGGCCTCAAGTGGGTCATCAGAAGTCTTTGATATTGTACTGACCTCAATTATTTTTACTGAACACCCCATATGTGGGATTTCGGTATCCCGTCTATACAACAGTTTTACATGTCATGCTGTAGATCTGTTATAACAAATAACCAAATTAGCCCATAAACCTCTCTTTGGAAGTCTCGTAATTCGTGTGATGACCCAAATGTGTGTTAATTTTTTCGGATACGTCTATTTCTAGGTTTAATAGAACTGTCAACGTATGTTCATTTGGAAGCCAAACGAACGCGTAGATCGTTGTAGTGTACTCTGCCCTTAGTTTACTAGTACTCCATCGTAGACATTGCTCACATGTTAGGGTGTGCTCGAGTTAGCAGCTGTGAAATTAGGTGCAGAGCATTTCAATAAGGTGATAACTTCATCGAAAGAGGTTGGTAGGATATGTATTATGCATATCTTTCCACCTGCTACCGTGGCCCTTCTCTTTACGTATCATAATGTATATCTGTCTCGTTTTACGGCAATAAATACTAGGAGACTTGGTGTCTGATAAAATAGCACTGCCAATATTGAAGTTAACTTTCAATGTTTATCCACAGCAGGTCACATGTAATTAAGAAATTGAACATTTCTCTCGCAGAACAGTATGCTGCTCTTTTCAAGGGATCAAAAACAGCTAGTTGGCTACCTAGATTTTTACGTTAATTCTTAGGAAAATATCTAATATTTATGATCCTAAGATATAGTCAAACTCGGACGTATAGTCTTCAATCGCACACCATACGTATTTATCGCATTCTTTCAAATTAAACACCATACATGATGCTCAACAACGGCAGCATCCAAGGAATTTCTATCGTATTTGTAATTGGACTGATTTGGATCAGCATTTTCATTTAAGGGATGCTTACATGAGATTTGCTTCAGTTTGTCGTTTTCAGTAAACGTTAAGGTGTTATTACAGGTACATATCACCGCTGTGTTACATGTAGCTGATCGAGGAAATGTATTAGCGAGATGATAGGGAGAGAGGGAATTTGCAGATCGCCAGCGTAGATGATCTATGTCGAATGAGTGAGGGCCTACTAAAGTAAGACGGGAATGGTGTGACGAACTAGCTAACGTCGAATTCCCCCCTTGCGGTCACCACCTTACGTGGTACTACAGATGCTTTGAAGACTGTACAACGCAAAGGACGTTATTATAGAGATATATTAGTTGAATTTGATACAAGCAAAACTAAGACTAAAACCGCATGTGCCAGTCCATGGCGAACGATTAACTGATGCGCACTGGTCATCCTTGACCTTGACAGAGATCGATGATCAGTTCGATATTCAGTGACCTGTAACGGCACAGGTTGGTTGGTTAAGAATTGACCTTAAACAACCAAGCATATGCCAAAACAGTACAGGTCAAGTATTCTTTCACTTCCTTATTTTGCATAGGCGCTATATTTCCTATTATCTTATATTGAATTTTGAGAGGCTTTGTTTGTCTGAACAAATAATCTCACGCTCCACTGTGACTGCGCGAAGATCGAAATAAAGACATATTCACTACTTGTCTGGTTTCTTCTATCAATAGCACGAGGGTTACCTTAAGGCACGAAAGACCCACCTGCCGGATGATTTGGTCAGGGCTTGCTATGATTTCAAAGGCCCAGCAAATATAAAAAATATGACGTATTATAAACAGATGCCTGATTCTTACTGTAGTGCAGAAATTCTAGGCTTTAGCTTACGGCAGCTAGTTACACTGAAATATCTCACACTGATCGTTTCCTAAATTTGACGCTCAAGTACACTGTCGATAATTAAGCGACTCAAGTTGTTAATTTTATATGCCGCATAAAATATTGCAAGTGCGATTATTGTATTGACTAAAATAAATTTTACGACAGACAATTTACTAAACAAAATGGTTGTCGTAATTTATAACTCCTTTGAAACGGCATGTAACTTCAGGTGGCCGACATTAGGTAATTAAGTCTTTAAACTCCTTAAGCAAGGTATAAGCTAATAAAACGTACCAAAAAAGCATAAACGATGTTTTTCGAGACTGGAGTTTACAACCATTTTACGTCATAATATGGTTTATTGAACTACACTATAATATTCTAATTATAGTATGAACTAGGAATTCCAGGACTAACGCAATTGAACTAAGAAGACACAGGCACAAACGAATGTATTGTATTTAGAATTCGAAATCAAGTATTCAACCAGTACCAAGGTATCATTGGTTCATTCAAACACCACATCCGCCACAGCTTAAATTGGAGTCTAGGTGTTTATAATCAATCGTACGTCTTCTTCTCAAATTCATCCTGAGTCTGTCTGACATTGTATTGAATAAGGATTCTGTATTATCTAGAATATGCTCATTAGCATTAGAATTAACAATCGAAATTGGAACCGACTCACCTGGTTCCTGAAATTGTATTTGATCTACATGTCGACTGTGTGTACTTAAGTCATCGATGTCTAGAATTCGCACCATCGATTTTCCGACATTCTTCAGAACAATACCCGTAGATGGTCGAAGATCATTTCCTCGATAGTATGTAACCTCTGCAGACTCCAGACATCTCATATTCGACCGAAGAATTCTTCCTTTCAATAGCTTCGCTGGAGTCTCCTTCGTCACCGAATGTTTGGCATTTCTATATTGCAATAGAAAGGTATCTACTCCCCTCTCCAGCTCATTAAATGTTGAGGGGGCTATAGAATCAATAGCAGTCTTTAATGTCCTAACAAAATTCTCTGCCTGACCATTAGAACACGGATGTCTGGGAGCAGTAAATAGATGTTTGCACCCTATACCGTTCAACCAGGTAGTGACTGCATCTGCAGCAAAATGTGAGCCATTATCAGTCACCAACACCAAGGGAACACCTTCTCGACTAAACACCTTTCTTAATGCTTGTATTGTGAAATCAGAATTCGGTGAAATTGTGAAAAAAACTTCAGGCCACTTTGAAAAAGAATCAATGACTACTAGTGCGTAGTATTTACCAAGAAATGGTCCACAATAATCAGCATGAATCCTCTGCCAGGCCTCAGACGATACTGGCCATGGCACCCACTTCGAAGGATGGTTTTTCAACTGATGACATTTCTCACATTGTTTAGAGTAAACATTAGAACTGTTTTTGTGATAAGGGTAAACAGCAGTTGATATGAAATCCGAAATGTAATCAAACTCGAGGTCACTTAGTACTCGTGCTTCACACTGAGCAGGTTTTTCACAAGGATCAAATACATTATGAGGATAGGTAATATATGATATGACATCAGGATTTGATTCTTCTGAAATATTCTCATGAAATTCATTAGGACTGTCATTGCAGAGCGTAGGATCGTTAAAAAAATCAACATCTATCCAAACCACATCAGGTTCTCGATCATGATTAGGTTCATTTAACATATTTTCCTCAGAATTGCAAGTAATTTCATTAGAAATATGTGAATCATTAGGAAAAGTCATACCTGGTACAATAGCATGAGAATTCTGATAAATCGGTTGATCAGAAACTGTTGTCTCACAAGAATTCTGGATTTCATCTAACTCTGAACTGTCATATGACTCTTCACTATCTTTTGAAATCGTTGATAAAGATAAATGATCATTAGAAACATCCGAATTATTGAAATTTAAATTATAAGATTTAGTACAGCTTGAAGCAAAATGGACAGTAGCTTTGCATACTGACTGAATGTGTCCTACCTCACCACATTTAAAACATTTAGCATTACGAAATACACATGGATTGCGAGCATGAAACTTTCCACATGATAAACATTTACCAAACTTCATCTCACCTTTGTGATTTGCTTTGTAATTCCTCGTTGAAACACCTTTCATATTTACACGAGAATAGGAATCACTGTTAAATGAACGCAAGTTTGATTGACCCTGAGATTGTAGTTCATCACGACGACTAAGCAAAGTATTAGAAATATTCATCGACTGGATATCAAGTTCATTGACTGCTTCGTAGTTAATACATGCAGTTCTAGCATCTTGAAAGGAACAGTTTGGCATTCTTAACAGCTCTCTTTCCAAACTCGGTATGTTAATTCCTGCAATTAATCGATCTCTCAATTGCACATGAAGTTGATCACCGAAATTACACTTGGCAGCTTGTTTCTGTAATTCAAGGATGAATTCCCGAAACTTTTGGTCATTTTGACGAACCATCTTATGAAACTTCGCCCTTTCACGGCATTCAAAACTGGTGCATTTTACATGACTTAACAATAGCTCTTTAAGAGTTGCATAAGGCAGTGAGATAGGTTTTTCTGGATATGCCAAAGTTTTTAATAAGCTGTACACTTCTCTCCCAATGAATGTCAGAAAATGTGCCACAATTTTCTCACCTTTAACATCTTTCTTGGTCATGCTCCAAATTTCGAACCTTTCCAAATAATCCTCAATAGCTTCAGGAGTTAAATGAATATCCAACTTTTCCATTGCAGGTTCCATCGCGACGCCAATATAATATTCTAATTATAGTATGAACTAGGAATTCCAGGACTAACGCAATTGAACTAAGAAGACACAGGCACAAACGAATGTATTGTATTTAGAATTCGAAATCAAGTATTCAACCAGTACCAAGGTATCATTGGTTCATTCAAACACCACATACACCTAGCTATAAACCTTTTACTATATTTCACTGACGGTCTAATTCGAAACAACCACAATTACTATTGATTTTTCTAATTCTTAGGATATAATTCCGTCAAGTAATGAGCTTGTTTACTGTAATACAATCTGATATGATGAACAAAAACTCACGGCATAAACATATTTTTACTAAAAATTACATCATTACATGATAGATTCGTTGACTATATGATCTTAGTATTCACTTATTTGACGTGACAATGTCGAGTATATATCCACTGGATATTTCATATTACGAGGAGATAAAACGTAGAATTCATTCCTGAAAAAATAATGATATTTTACTCTGGTTTTTACTTTCAAATAATTCCGACGTGCTTTTTACACATACGAAACCGTAGGAATATATCTGTATTTTCTCTTTCAGTCGTTATATGACATTCTGTTAATTTAGCTTGGTAAAGTGATCGTACAGTAAAACTAGCGACATGGCAAGATGAAAGGACCTTTTATTTAATGTTATTGATCGATTGGCTGAATCAGGACATTTAATTGGACAGTTTCAGTTAGCTAGAATCCAAATGAGCAGAGAATATATGTATATCTAACAGTATTTCCAGATAGCTGATCGAATTGTTCACTGGTATGTCTTTTTTACGCAAGAATATTTTTGTGCAACTCGGGCTTCGAAATTTCAGAGTTAAAATTCACTTATCTCTGGTCAGGGAGACTGGGGTTTACCACTATTATATTGGATATTGCACCGTGACCTTGAGAGAGTTTTAAAGATTTCCTCTCTTATGAAATTGTGTGCTGTAACGTTGGTAACAGTAAGCTGGGGGGTTGTTTAGTTTGAGGATTACTACTTGGTGAAATAACTATGTATTGTTGAATATTTTCTTTTAGTTGACTACTTATCAGGCTGAAAACGTATATTTTAATTTCGCCAGCGATTATTCTTTGGATAAGTAGAAAATAGAAAAGCACGACATTAACAAGTAAAACCAGGTTGTTTTAGAAGAAACAAGTATGCCAGTGTTTTGAAATATTGGATATGTATGGTTTAAATGCACAAGCGAGATACTCATAAGTATCTCGTCTGAACTAAGAAACTTTCCTCATATACGTACGTAAACCTCGCACTTTTTTTGGATTACAGTCATTTGCAATGTGGACGCGTACAGTTTGCAGGAGGACAGATATTTGTTATTGTAGAAACGTAGTGCAGTATCAGAGGCTTGTCCTCCTGTATAAAATAAGTGATGCATTTCCGCCTTTTAGTTGTGGGTTCTACTGCTCATAGTGGTTAAAGACTAGTAGAGATGAAGTGTCGTCAAGTCACTTCTGTTAAATATTTCCAACTGATGATCCTGAGAGCCTAGTCATTATTTACAAGTTTTACAATAAATGAATCTATATAGCTCAGTGACTGCGCAGATGAATATATTTTGATGCACACATTTACGCCTAAGAAGTTCTATGGTCTATTTCCTTGTAAATAACAAACCGTTATTCAATTTACGTGGGTTTGTCCATTGTATAATAGAGGATATTAAAAGTTATACCACCCTCTTCACTAAAAGAGTTAACGTCAGTCACACAGAACATTGGAGTAGGGCAATCTTTAATCAATAAAATGTATGTCCGAACAATGTTAAGTTTAGTCACAGTCTATCATAGGACTTAATCCTAAAATAACAGAACTATCTAATCACTCTTTGTAAGTTGTGATATAATTTTCAAACTTTAATGTGCGGGCGCTAAATTAAGGAAAGAAGATTTTTGTTCGGAAAATGTGCGTCTGGCCTCATACTGTACTAAACCACGCTTCACGAAATTTTGAAGAAGCCTGTATCAAAGATACAAACAGATCCAACTGAGGACAAATCTTTCCAACTGATGTCCGTTGCATCAGTGTCCCTCAATGTCAGGCACCTATATTTAATTCAGGACTTATTTTTTTCTCAATACAAGTCATGAATAGAGCGGATTAGCCTACGTACGATTGATGGGACCTAGAATAAATATAAAATCTGTAAAAGTGCGTTTACACCTCTTTGCCTTACGAATTCTTCCTCCATGACACTCAAGCAAAGAAACATATATCCCAACTACGTTTAATTATATTACCACTCTACTCCCTACCAATCCTCAGTAAGCTATAACATAATAGTTCAGAAATAATGCCAGAATTATGCACTAAACAAGTTTCAGTCACGGTTGTAATGGGAAGTTTTAATCCATCCAGTAATGCTAGGAACTCATGATCTTTTTAGACTATAAACATTTGTCTATGAGGCTCCTACGGATAACTGAATTTTAGGACTGGTGTTAATTTTAATCGCGATAATCGAAAACTTTTGATTCTTAGTACGTCCAAATATGCACTATTAGCGGTGGCACACACAGTTTCGTTCTTGCCTGATGCTAGACTCATCGAAAGTATTTGGTCTTTGATTGGCAATTCTTTATTATTTTATTTATTTATTTGAACACATGAATATTGGTACAAGAGAGCTCCAATATATATGCGCCACACAAAACAATGAGAATTCGAAGAGAAATAGAAAAAAAAAGCTAAGGGGCGCGAAACAAAAGAGAACAATAACGAAGAGGTTGGTGTAAGGTAGTGCAATAATAATAATAGTAATAATGAGGGAACGGAAAGGTACAATCAGAAGAAATCTTTCACGTAAGAGAGACACAACCACTTTTTATGAAGAAAGTAAAAGAAGGTTACAGCAGGATCTCCACTGGCTTCTATTCTGAACCATATCTGATAACGTCTCTAGCCAATGTGTTGCACCATCTCTCGGACACCTACCAGGGAGTCGTGAAGGACCGACAGAAGCCAGTCCTGCATAGTTTTCTTTCATACCACGACAACATGTCATACACTGACCACCTCTCCGCTTTTTCCAACTAGTCCCAGCGTCCACAAATAATGCCCGACGTGGAATTCTCTGGGACGACATCCGTAGAACATATCCAAACCACCGAAGTCGGTGTTTCAAGATGGTGACACCAATTGAATTGTCGTCTCTGTGTCCGAACACACGATGCCGAATCTCTGCATTACTGACATGGTGTTGCCACTGGATGTCGGCAATCCTTCGGAGACAGCGATGATCGAACACAGAGAGTCGTCTAACGTCCTCAACTCGGAGAGACCAGGTTTCACAAGCATAGAGCAGAACTGCTCTCACCGACGCGTTGTAGATCCGACCTTTTACAGCCAGACTAACATCACGAAGGCGCCAAAGGTGGTCCAGATTGGCATAAGCCGCTCTGGCTTTCACTATACGTGCATTGATCTCATCACTTACATCCCCACCAGCACTTATGCAGCTACCCAGATACACGAACTTCTTGACTACGTCTATCTGCTCACCATCCAGGGTGAGTACAGGATTGGAATCCTGCCAGTCTTGTAGAAGTACTTTGCACTTCGAAGGTGCAAAGCACATACCATACCTACGGACACTGATTGTCAACTGATTAAGTGCGGATTGCATGCCTTGGGCATTATCGCACAGTAAGACAATATCATCAGCATACTCAAGGTCGAGAAGTCTTTCTCCAGGCAACAGATCCACACCACCATTACTTACATTCATCACAGCTGTTTCCAGAATGTCATCGATGGCAAAGTTGAAGAGGAATGGTGAGATTGGGCAACTCTGCCTAACCCCACTACTCGAATGGAACAATGGAGAGAGGTGGTTGTATGCCCTCACTCTGCCTGAGGTGTTTGTATATAGGGCTTTTAGGATGTTAATAAACTTCTCAGGCACACCCTTCTTCAATAGACAATCCCAGAGAACAGTCCTGTCCAACGAATCGAAGGCAGCCCTGATGTCAAGAAACACTACGATTGTTGGCCTTTGATAAGTATGGCGGTGTTCTAACATTTGGCGAAGGGTGAAGATATGATCAATACATCCTCGACCAGAACGAAACCCAGCCTGCTCCTCGCGAGTCAATCTTTCTCCGGTTTTGAACAACCTACGAAGTATGACGGAAGCCAATAGCTTGGACGCAATCGGAAGTAGACTTATCCCCCGATAGTTGTTACAGGAACGACATGAACCCTTTTTAAAGATAGGGACAACTATCGACTCATTCCATGACGTTGGTACACTCTCTAGTTCCCAAACCTTTGTAAACAACGTCGTCAATTCCTTAGTCAAAAAGTCAGCACCATCTTTAAAAAGAGCCGGAGGTAAGTCATCTGGGCCAGGTGATTTGTAACGCTTCAAGAGTTGGAGTTCCTTGCGGACTTCCTCCTCGTTTAGTGGATTAGTCGTCACCGGCCATGGAGGGCAGGACAGTCTGACCGATGTTGCCGGGGCAGCAGACCAGTTGAACTGCCCTTCGAAAAATTCTGCCCATCGTCCAAGACGTCGATGGATGTTGGTGATTGGCATCCCATCATCCTCACAGATTGTTTCGCTCACACCAGACTTCTTGCTGCTAGTGGCTCGAATGAGTTGGAAGAGCTTCCGGTAGTTACCAGATGCAGCTGCTGCTTCCAGTTCATAAGCACGCTCCGACCACCAGGCTTCTCGGTCCTTACTCAAGTTTTGCCCAATTTCATTACGTAACAGTCGTCGTTTGTAGTCAAACGCACAGTCACCCGGAGTAGACCGATGGGCTTCGATTAGTTGTAAGGAGCCTGAAGAAACCAGTGATTATAAGCGGGACGTTTCGCGAACTCACAAATGACTTTTCTCGCCATTTTCATGGCGTCATGCAATTGTGACCAATGCTCATCTATACTTTTCGGTGGAGTGGTAGCTAGCCTAGCAGCTAGCTCTGTTCGATACTTACTTGCAACAGAAGTTGCAACCAACTTGCTGACATCAATCCTTTGGTGGCCGTCACTTCGTTGTCCACTGAAAGGTAAGGTAAGATTGGCGCAGACCAAGGCATGGTCAGAGTCCAGATAGGTACTCCAAAAGGAGCGGCAGTCTTGTACACAACTACGCCAGTGGTAGCTGATCGTGATGTGATCAATATATACTCATGTATGTTACAGCAAAATGCCTTACAAAACAACCCTCACTTGGGAGAATCACCGATCCGTTTTTGGTAGACACAGAGATCCGTTTAAAATATCTCTTCTGTTCCATTCACAACAATTTTAAACCATTAATTACTGAACATCACCCATGTTTTATCTATCTGGCCCTGAGAAATTGTTGATACGCAAGGCTTAGTCAGCCATATATTTCACTTGGGTAAACTATGCAGAGTTTAAAGACGAATGTTTGAAAAATTTAGGCTTTCGTTTGGATAAATCTTTAATTTATTTGTCTTCATGTAAACCCATTCGACCCCATCTAATTACCGACTGGATTATTCGTAGTATACACTGACATGTGTGCTATTAACAACTAATTTTAAGTTTGGATTAGTTTATGCGGTTAACTCTACCTTTATAGTTTACGAAAGTCCTCGTTGTTAGTTTATCAGATATCGTCCATATTTTATTGCATACAAACCCGGATGGCCGCTGAATGTTTAGTTATTCGAACCAACTTCCTGATACTTCCATCATAGATCTAGGTATTGACTGTGATGGCTTCAGATTGTGCTCCATATATCACTATCAAATTGGTTTAGAAAACGCACGTATTAAAAGACAAAATGCCTCTATGGTTCAGGTGGTCCTTATCGAAGCTACATACAGGTACATGCATACATGTGTGAGCAAAACTTTCGCTTTTGTGATTCGTGAGTGAAATAAGTCACTAAAATAATAAAGAAACTCATTTATTTATTACTTCAAACTCAAAAGCGAGAAGAAATTTCACCTTTGGTACATTGGTATAGGAAATTTGATAGATGTGATCATAATGTTTTGCCATTACCTTAAGCGCTTTTAGTTCAAACAAGAAATGGACTCTCAGTCAGTCAGCAACAAAGTAGAACTTCGTACGCACATTCCCTCTAAATGCAAGCTGTTGCTTCAGGACTGGTCTGCGTTAACACCTGAACTAAGGATAGGGAGTGAAGTAGTCGAACGCGTTGACAACTTCACTTATCTTGGAAGTCTGATCAGCCCTAATGGGTCGGTATCGGACGAAATCTCAGCACGGATTCGAAAAGCTCGATTGGCTTTTGCCAACTTGCGTCACCTATGGCGAAGGCGAGATATCCGTCTATCAATAAAAGGACGAGTATACTGCGCGGCAGTCCGTTCTGTTTTAATTTACGGCAGCGAAACATGGCCATTAAGAGTGGAAGACACTCGTAAGCTATTAGTATCTGACCACAGATGCCTTAGAAATATTGCTGGCGCCTGCTGGGATCACCGGGTAAGTAATAGTGAGGTTAGACGCAGGGTATTAGGGAATGATGGTAAATCAGTTGATGAGGTTGTGAATCTTCATCGACTGAGATGGTTGGGCCACGTGTTACGTATGCCTGAACACCGATTACCACGACGTGCAATGCTATCCGGTATTGGAAATGGTTGGAAGAAAGTTAGGGGCGGCCAAACCAAAACGTGGCATCAGTGCTTGAAGTCACTAACTTCTAGTCTGAGCCATGTTGGTAGATGCAGACTACTTGGTTGGGGTCCGCGTGACTATCGTAACCAATGGTTGGAGACTCTTGGTGACATGGCTCAGAATCGATCATAATGGCGTCGATGTATACACTCTCTATCTTCCCTTAAACTAAGACATTAAAATCGCTTCATATCTTTCTTTCTACGAACTAATTCTTTCTTCCTGTACTATATCTCTATATGCAATCTTTCTTCTATATATTACCACCTCTGAATTAACTACTTTTATGAATCCGGTGTCCATCTTGTTGTGTTAATGAGGTATGGCAACTTGGACCGATGCATATATGTGCCTGGTCCTACGTTGTAGCTGACTGACTGACTCGTACGCACATACGTCAGTTCAAGGTGCCATACTATATTAGCACAGAGATACAGTTATCGATCCAAATCCCGTAGTACTAGATGTAGTAAAATTATAAGCTGTAATCAGAAAAATTAGGGTTTGAAGATGTTATTCAAGGAGTATAATCCAGTGAAATAAATTTGGAAAGGGAACAAATAAAGGGACATGAATATTTCAGAAGATTAGAATTTGGGAGAACACAAAGAGTGGATGCACCTGCGCCATTGCAAACGATTTTGAGCCATGTCATTCAGGGTCTCTAACCATCGGTTGCTATCATCTCGCGGTCCCCAACCAGGTAGTCTACACCTACCAACACGACTCAGTCCACTTGTCAGTGACTTCATGGACTTGTGCCATGTTTTGGTTTGGCCGCCCCCAGCTTTCTTCCAACCTACTCCTATACCACTGAACATAGCACGTCGAGGCAGTCGGTCGTTGGGCATACGTAACACGTGTCCCAGCCATCTCAACTGATGAAGTTTCACTACTTCATCAATTGATTTGCCATCCTTACCTAGTACCCGTTTCCTAACAACTGTGTTACTTACTCGATGGTCCCATGATATACGAGCAATGTTTCGAAGACACCTATGATCAAATACTAGTAACCTACGGATATCCTCTACTCTTACCGGCCATGTTTCACTGCCATAAAGTAGGACGGGACGAAGCGCTGCGCAGTAAACACGTCCTTTGGTTGATAGACGGATATCTAGCCTACACCATAAATGACGCAAGTTGGCAAAAGCTAGTCGAGCCTTCTGTATCCGTGCTGAGATTTCGTCACACACTAAACCACAAGGTCTGATGAGACTTCCAAGATAAGTGAAGCGGTCGACACACTCAACTACTTCACTCCCTATCACTAGTTCGGGTGTCAATGTAACGCAATCCTGAAGCAACATTTTGCATTTCGAGGGAGAGAATCGCATCCCGAATATGCTTGCACTGTTGCTTACGATGGTCAGAAGACTCTGCATTTTGTCAGCGTCTTCACCAAATAGAACTATGTAGTCGGCATATTCTAAGTCAAAAAGTGAATCTCCCGGTGGAAGTTCAACCCCTGTAAATCTAGATGAGGAGAGTGTTATCTCTAAAAGCACGTCAGCGACAAAGTTAAACAAGAATGGAGAGAGTGGATAGCCCTGACGAACACCACTTGAGGTGATCAATTGTGATGACAGTTCGCCATAAGCTCCCACTCGGCCAATGAACTGTTCTTTGGTTGATAGTTTAAAATCTACTAATTAGTGTTTGCGGACTTGAAGTTCATCTGACAACCACTTTCACTCAAATATTTTGTAGACTGACACATCTTTACTGAAAACTAATTAATTTATAGATGACAGAAATTCACTGTCTGGTGTTTGCCCCACTAAATGAAACCACTGTATTTCATTTTTTACATTAGGAAGATTTACTACAATGTTAAACCTAATTACTCACCCCATTACTTTGAATTACGTCTTATTTTTTGCTTTAAGTAGAGAATTCAATCTCTTTCATTCTTTAGTTCTAATATGTGTAAATATGTTTGAGAAGAGTTATGCACAGACAGACTTTTAGTTCAAGAATATATTTTTCCAGACACAAGTTTTGGTCAACAAATTTAGAACTAGAAAGATTCAAAACCACATTAATTAACAGCTGCAATTAGCTTACAAGCAACAAACATTACATAAGAAGCATGCTTACTCAGAAAATTAAGGTTATCTGAAAATTAGAATCTAATGAAAGCTTTATGGTCACTGCAGGGGACAAGGTACTGTTATTTTTCGACAAGAATGGTAACAAATAAAATTATCCTTCTGACAAATGATCAGACAAGATTCTGGAAACTAGGGTCATGTTTGAACGTAACAGACTACACATCGACTGAACACAACATCAAAATCCAACAAGCTTGAAATTTGTTGATACTACTAAACCCTGTGTTAGGATAAATAGTTTTCTAACTAAAAATCTGTCTTCAAATGATTCTAATATCTACGCTTATCACAAAACTTTGAATAGGAATCAAATTGAGGTGGGTTACTAGGTCCAAACTAAAAAAATAAATTTAAAAGCGCACCAGCTACAAATCCTAGGTAAGTCAGGTTCAAATGATTGGTTACCTAGTCCTTCGATCTGATTGATTCCTACCTTATTTCCCTTGATTTTTTGCTTCCTGAACATATTTCGATTATGAATGTTTTAGATTTTGAAGTAAATCTTCAGTGGTATATAATCTCTATAGGATCTTTTTTTAACTCAGTGGCATACGTTCAGTATAATTCAATTTGGCTCAAGGCATATCTTTTCAGTGACTTATCATTAGGTTTGACCTCACATCAACGAATAGATTTGTAATGCTTTCCTGTGATACTGTCGTATTCCTAATTATACGTTCATCTTTCTAATTTTACACATTATACTTATTAACAGATATTGTTACTATCATCATCATTATCACAATTACCACGACACAACAATTTCTACTTTTTACATACGATTTTAACTTGTTAATTAGGACTCATTACCTTAGGCCATGTAATTTCTATGACTTTTTCTTGTGTAACTTTGTTAACCTTACTAATTAAGCATCATGGTGTTATTTGAGACTTCGTCAATCTATAATCTATTATTTTCGATCCAACCAGAATGTTCCTATGTATACTTCAATATGTTTTATAGTGCAATATTTGTATATTCATAACTGTACAGTCCGAAGAAGTTATTCAAATGTGTTTTCCAAAGTACTAACGTTTTTATAATTATGCTTATACAGCATATTACTATAATATCTAGAAACCGGGACAAAATTGTCAGAATTGTAGTTTAAGCAATATCTTTCAGTGACTGCAGCGTGCTAGTTATCTAAATCGTGTATTTATTATTTTTTTAAGGTTCCTAAAAATATAAATCTCTTGATCCAGTCAGCCACAACATGGGGTATTTTATGGTACAATCTAACTCATTTTAATGCGGCTTTAAAGATTTGTCGAAATTTGTAAGACGTGATAAGCTTATACCTTTATTTAACTAGTCTTGTATTGCAAAGTTGTTCATTTGTGAAAACCAAAGTAGTTGCAATACTCACTAAAATCTCTACCAAAATGTCCCTGGAAAGAACGTCTAAAATCATCAAGAAAGGATCAGTATATGTTCGAATGAACTTCTCGAATTCGTTTATATATTCTCAGGCTAATCTAATGTTATTCTGCTTGACTGCTTACTATAACCGTTCGATTCTAGTTATATTATAAGCGTGTTTTATTGATATTAAGTCGAATTTCATGAACATGTTTAAATAATTCCTTAAGTGGTTAAGAATTATGCCAGTGATTTTCTATGTTTATGCTTCTTGTGTTTCAGTTTACTAGTGCTCTAGATTACTGTCTATCTTTTTATTTTATAGATTTTTCCCACAATAGTGTTTGACTGGTAGGAAGTCTTCATGAACTGTTCTTTACCAGCTAGCTGAACCTTATCTTTTATCCGAACCACTCCATTAATATGTCCAGTTTCTTGCATAAAGTTTTTAGCAATTATAGCTGTTCTGATGGATTTTACGTGGACAGAGAAGGCTGTAAAACGTTATTTATCGAACTTTATGGAAGGAAGCCGAATAAGGAAGAGATGAAATGTATTTTATCATTTTTTGAATCAAATCCCGATGGTGAGCCAATTGGTCTAACATTTTCCGGGTTTGTAAACTCTTTATTTTCTGATTGTAAACAGTTTTCTTTCTTCTATCCAAATGCTTCAGAAACATTTTCAGAATAACCTTCCACATATTGACAAACACAATAGATTATCATTTGATTGTTTAGATCTAGATTCAAAGGACTTTGTTATGATAAATGATTTACACAAAATATGGAGTAGATACTTACCATCTTTACCATCTGGTCTACTGCGTACTATTTTCAGAGAGTTTGACCAAGATTGTGACGGTCGAGTTTCATATGAAGATTATCTACATACTACAAAGTCGTAAGTTTAAAATTTGTTCAGACTTTATGACATAGCATTGTATTTTTATTATCGTCTGAGAAATTATGTTTTTTCAATCTGATGTTATTCAATGTCTTACAGTCACTTATTACGACCAGTGAATATAATCTTTACTGGATACCATAGGGATGTGTTATTATAAGGTTAAAGGTGACCAAATCGAAATAGGAAATTCGTTTGTAACGTCATTGACACCTGACAAAGTCGTACTGAAGAGGGGTCAGCTTTCTGGTTGAAGATGCTTAGTTGCATTCTTCAAAATCGATTGTGATAATGTAGTTGTATTTATCCGTTACACCCCCTTAGATTTCGAGCTTAATTTCATCCCTTACCGTTTAATCTGTGATCTTATTTATTCATTTTCAATTATTTTCTTAATATCAACTTTTCACTTTGGTGAGTATTGTTGTTACCCCGTTCACCTCTCGCCTCGCTAATTTTCTTTACCGGTGTACTTATCTTGAATGTACCAACTTCGATCGATTCTCATTCATACCGGATTTTACACTGTCTTCGATTAGCTAACATTACAACTTCCTAATGTTTAAATCGTAATAAAAACAAAGATGAAGTTATTGTTTATTTTTCCCTGATAGAGTACGTTTACACATTTGAATTGAACTCCATACACCATAACTTATATTCTATGACACCTACTTAAAAGCGATTTCTAGTCTCGTACACCATCAAGATTTAATTACTTACGCTTGTTACCCCTTGTGCAGAACCATAGGCCTCCCACCAGTATTCCCCATCCAACTTTGTCCTGGACTTTCTTTTCCAGTTGTTTCCAACTGACATTAATTCTTTTTACGTCTGCCTCCAATTTCCGAAGCAATGTGTGTCTGAGCCTTCTTCTTTATCTTTCGCCTTCAGGATTCCAAGTAAGGGCTCGCCTCGTGATGCAGTTTTATGATATAAACCATGTATGTCTTACCCTCCTTCGGCATCTTCCCTTAATTCCTTCTTCAGCTAGAAGTTGGTTTGTTCTTTGCCATAGTATATTGTTGACGATGGTATCTCGCTAACGGATATTGAGTATCTGGCGTAGGTAACTGTTTGCAAATACTTGTACTTTTTGGTGATGGTCGTAATAGTTGTCCAAGTTTCAGCTTCGTACAGTATAACTGTTTTGACGTTCGTATTGGCGATTCTAACTTTGATATTGGCTGATATTTGTTTTGAGTCTCATATGTTCCAATTAAAGAATATATGGGATCATTACATTTGACTTTCCAATCATTTCCCTTACATCTGCATAAGGTCGTTCTTGTTTATCGATGATGCTGCCCAGGTATTTGAATGCTTCCAGCTCTTCTGGAGTTTCTCCACCAAGTGTGATTGCGTTGGTGTTCTTTGTGTTTTATTTGAGGATCTTACTTTTTCCCTTGTATATGTTGAGGCCTACTGATGCAGAAGCCGCTGCTGCACTGGTTGTCTCGATCTGTATGTGTTCTGTGTAGGATAGGCGATCTAGGTCATCTGCGAAGTCCAGACCGTCTAGCTGCATTCAACCTGTGCATGGTATTGCATACTAACCCTCAGATATAGAGATCTTCATAATCCATCCGACCAATAGAAGGAAAAGAAAGGGTGAGAGTAAACACCGTTGTCTAACACCGGTTTTCACTTGAAATACATTTATGAGCCGCCCTCCATCTAGGACTTCGCGGTACAGTCCTTCATAAAAAGTCTGTATGATTGTGACAGTCTTGTCAGGTACACCATCATGTCCAAAAACGTTTCATAATATTCTCCTATCCACACTGTAGAACACCTTTTCATGATCAAGGGATTTGATGTGTGGTGAGGAATTACATTCAATTGATTGCTCAAAATGATACTTAGTGTCTCTATTTGGTCCGTACACGATCAGTCCTAACGGAAGTCAGTCTGTCGATCACGAAGTTGGGTGTCTACTTAATCTTTCATTTAGTTCAACAACACTGTTGAGAACTTTTCCCCGGTACTATTAGTGATGTGATGCTTCTGTATTTCTCACAGTTGCTGAGACCTTTCTTTGGTATATTGATGAGGTATCCTTCTTACCAGTCTGTAGACACTTGTTCTATTTCCCAAATCCACCTGAATAAAATGTGGAGTATCTTTGCAGTTACTTCTATGTGTAACTTCGATGCCTTAGCTGGTATATATATATATTCCCTTTACCACAAGTTTTTATTTGACTCATTATCTACTATTATACGATTTACCACTCTTAATTTATTCACAGTCTTATTTTTGTATAGTGTGATGCGGTCTGATCTGCTTGCATGTAAACTAAGTATGTTTGAAATACATTATTCACAGAGTGGAGGTGGACGTTGTGTTCTGGACTCAACGGGAAAGGCTAGGCGAGAGACTACTATATTGAGGATCAATAAGGATTCAGAGTTGAATCAACGGTGCTAGTGCTGGGTGACGTATCATTGGTATAACACAGGGAAAAAGTCACAGAAGCCGGTATTTTGATCAACGATCTTGTCACGTAATGGTTGACAGGGGGGTAAATCATAACACTCGCTTTCTTTATTCCTAACTGGTCGCCCTAGTTTGCTGTATTTCCCTTCCGGGTTTTTCGTTGTACCGTATAGATGTCCCATTTTTCCTTCTCTTGCAGCCTTTTCCTCTGTCATCCCTAGGTTTAACATGTATTTCCGCTTGTCGGCTCTGATGCTCCTCTTCACTCTCTTCTTTGCCTCTGTAAATTCGGTTTGTGCATGACTTTCTCTGTTCTTGTTCGGTTGTCGTTAATTGCTGTTTTTTGTTCTTCCTTTCTTGAATGCTGTTCAAGGTTTTGGTAGAGATCCATTCCTTATGATGATGCTTCTTGCGACACAGAACCTCCTGACAAATTGAAGTTATTGCTTGTTTAGTCCGCTTCCACTTATTCTCTATAGTAATTTCCTCTTCTTTGAGTAGGTCTTATAAACTCAGAGCTTGTTGCAGGGAGCTATCTTGAGTTCGTTGACTTTGTCAGTATCTGGAGGGAAGACTGTATTAAACTTTTGCAATGCTGTTTGTCCAGTTGTCCATTACTTCTTTAGTTTAAGTTCAATCTTGCGCACAACCAGGTGGTGATCTTAGGTTGCTTCTGCTCCTCTCCTTGTCCTAACGTCCTCAATGGGTCCTCTGAAGTTTCTATTCATGCAGATGTAGTCTATCTGGTTCCTTGTAGTGTGATTCGGTGGTACCGATGTAAATTTATGTGTGAGTTTGTGAGGGAAGATAGTGTTTTTCATATCCAATTTGTCGAAGGCATATAAATTTGCATATATATCAACATTCTCATTGCTTTCTCACACTCTATATCGTCCCATGACATCTTCATACTCGTTGTTGTCCATCCCAACTTTGATGTTTAGATCTCCCATCGGATAGACATGTCTTTTCCTGGGCACTTCTCTTTGATCGATTGCACCCTCCCATTTTTATCGTTTTCATGTCCATCACTGGTGAGTGCATATCGCTACGTGAAATTCGTTGTGATCCCGTCCTTGTTTGTTTTGAAGAATGCTTTGAAGTTTCCGAATCCACGAGATTACCATCCTTTAAGTGCTTTTCGTACTTCTTTGGATAGTGTCAGCGCAACTTCTTGTGTATGTGAGGCGTTCTCTTCATGACCAAAGTACAGTAGTACCTCTACAGAAGCCAATTTGTATATCCTCATTTCCGTAGCTATTTGATTGGTTCCCTCAATCTTCTATGTTGTTCGGACATTCCATATACCTATATTGGTATATTCTGTAATCGTCAGAAGTGGCATCGGCCTCGTGATTTCCGAAGAATCTCGGCTTTCACTATGAGGCTTCATTATTCTAAATGAAGATTCTCCAACTCCCAAGGCTTATTTTAAATGGTTTGATTGTTTTCTTTTTAACATATTTTTAGCAAATTTTTCTTATATGGGATGGGGTTGCTAACTTCATGCTCAATCTTCCTCTTTTATCTAGGCCTAAAACCCGCAGTATCCTTTGAATGGCTACAGGCGGAGCTCTAGAATGTACATATATATAAATAATCTTAACCGTAAACTTGCATTATAATTTTTTTGTCTAACGAATTCGTATGACAATAGGGAAAACTATTTCGATGTGAAAATACTATCTCAGTGTTATAATATGTAAAATCAAAAGTAATAAAAGGTTTTAAGTACTTGATGTTCATTACTAATAGTTGAAGATCTATGTCATCTTTAACTCTATTCTTGTGTTAATTACATCTGCATTTGTATAATTTAATAAACCATAAGTTACTTGTTTTGCCAACCAACTTTTAGAATGAGATTTTTTACACTATTTAGCATTAATTAATAAGTAAGCAGATTAAAACAAACTTTTAATTAAATATAGAAGATTGATCGGTTCATAGTATGAAACTACTTGATTCATAACAATCATGATTAACAATGTTTCTTTAGTTGATATCAGTTTAAAAACAAGAACCATTATCTTCAGTTTGAACAAGTCTTTTTTATTTTGTCCATCCTGATTAGCTTGTAGTTGACCAATGAGTATAGACAAACATATTTGATATAGTACATATCTATATTGTGATATTAACGTCTACTCTTTGTACTTTTCTCATAATACACGCTTTTTCTGGTCCCATCTGCTTCTCGATCGATCAATGGGCTAATTAAATATGTGTTATAGTACTAATATTAGGTTGACATTAAGTGACCGGCCTATATGATTCCCTACCACCCCTTTTAAAAAAATTGTGGGGTGTGAATGAAAAATTTAGGTATCGTTGATTGGTGGACTTGTTTAGCAAGTGTGTGCTCAAGTGATAATGAACAAACATTTTGTTACCTTTAATAATTTTGTGATTGATCGTAAACTGTTCATCTTTGTAATCTGATTAGTTGAAATCGAAATCGCATCTGAAGCTGTGATTGGATGTCAGAATTTTCATTTTTTACATTTGAAATTTAATGATAATGAATAATCTTTTTTGTGTAATCTTAGTCTTGAAAAAAATTTAGACTTTTGAAGAAAAAGACACCAACTTAATTGCATTACCGTGCAATCCTACTGTTAGTGAATGTGTATTGGGATCAATTTTTGTTTTCCGATCAAGTATACCTTGAATTGAAGTCGTTAGATATCTGAACACGAATAATTATATGTATCTCAGTAAAAGAAAGTTTTTGGGAAAAAGCCACCGAAAACCGGTTTGAATATTTGATAATAGTGATTACTGAATGAGGTCGGTAGTCAAATATTTAATACCAAATTAATAAACAAATTATCACCAAAGTGTGTGCATAGGTTTTTTTGTAACACACGGTGTGTTAATGGGAAAAAGAAATCAACATATCAATAAATCATTATGATAACTTACTGGTTGCAATATTTATAATTCAGGTGGAGCAATCATAGACCATCATTTAATGAACTGACTTTGACAGTATATGAAAGTAGTAATAAATTTTCCGAAATAGACACTTAATATTTAGTAAACGATTATTTTGTAAATGGTCATTCATAATGAGAATTAGAAAACGTTAGATTTAAATGTGGTTAATTTGGAAATCCATTGAAACGGTTCATTATTTCCACTTGTAAATTATTTGTAGTTCCGTATTTTAAAATTAATTTTTTGGTCGTTATAAATACTAGTTTGTTTAATCAGTCATAGTGTACATTATAAATTGGCAAATTCCGTACCAGGAAGGTTCGCGTGTGAGAACACTTTGTACCGCATATTGCAGACATCTTGAGCGGTCAGACATTTCCCATAAGATTGGTAAGCAAAATTCTTTATGTGGAATGCAGCGGTACCGGAAATCAGCAGCGGTCTCACAGTTTCAAACTCCCCATCCGTTAACCTGCGCACCCATGAATTACCCTGGTACCTCAGGGAATTGCACTCGTGATTGTGATGTACATTCCCACGTACAACAGTCCAATAGCCGTCTATAATCTTACAAAACATAAATGCTGGACATTGGGTGTTCATAGAAGCCCTTCGTTCAAAAAATTATAAAACAATTTACCAAATTACCTCCTCCGTCTAATACGTTGTGACGAACCGCTAGATCTTATACGCCCATTTCGCCAACACACAAATTTAATGTAGGATTTTTGATCTCTGCCAATATGCGAATCTCTCACTACATAATGACTGTAAGTCGATCTTTCAAAATTTGTGATAGTGGTCTTTAACGCTTCAACCGATGGAAACGCAACCAGAAACAAGGTAGTCAAAAAGACTTCCTCCATTTCAGTTACGTGAGAAACACCAGCGCTTGTACTCGGCACGTTACTCTGTTCCATAATGACGATTGAGATTGTGCTTCGTCGACAAGTACTGATAATTTATAACAATTTTCAAGACATAACTAACCAATTAAATCTAATTTTTGAAACTAGCCATTTCATTGGACGAAACACGGGATGAAAAATATTGTAATTTTGGGGTGGAAAATTTTTTTTATGGGGTGGGTTTTTTTTTTAAATGGCCGGTCGGACAATATTATTCCTAATGGTTTAACGTCTTCACGAATCATCTATTAAACACTATACCTTCTTTCTATCGATTCCATGTTTAGCATTATTTTGTTTGAAGAGAAATAAGTTTGTAATTGTACACTTCTTCTTTCAGTTGTAGTAATATGTAATCAGTCTACGAAAAGTGACTGAAATGGAATATTTCAATGACTTCAAAGAACTTATCATACAATTGATTCTGATTGTATTTCCTACCTATTCTGTATAAATAAATGTGTGTTTACATTTTTTTCAAATGTTTGCTTATTTTCATAATTATTTAGATAAAACTAATGATAGAAGTAACATTTGTTGTTCTTTTCTTCTAATATACGTTTCGCAAGTAGTTTTAGAATAAAACAGATAGTTCACTTTGTAGCACTTTATTGATTGTAACATGTTTCTTTTTTTAAAAAAACAAGCGTTTACTTGGTGTTACAGATTAATAATAAACAATGATTAAAGTTTTTTTGAAGTCTGTAAACCGTGAATTTCAAACCTTACAAATCATACTGTGAACTCAAACTAAGAAATAATTATACGTTGTTCCCTCATTAAGCGTTGGAGCTGCTAGCTATACACTAAAACCATTGAACTCCATGAGTTTAAAAGAGTTGTCACTAAATGTTATCAATGATTAGTTAGTTAAGGCGTATAGCTTTATGATAGCTATCTTCAGTCATCTTATAATGAATACAATTTTCTAGTATATTATTTAACTGAACACATTTGTCATATTGTATTAGTGGATGAACGTGATTTGATTAAACACTTCAGATTACTATACCATTTTCAATCACCATCTTGAAATTGTTTTATTTGATAATTAGTATATTTATTAAACAACTTTTGTGAAATTCCAATTTTACTGATTTCCTGTCGACAGAATCCAATCGTAGCGTAAATTTAGACTTACTTTTCTTAAGTATATTACATGCCCCGACAGATTGCAGCGCGGATGCAATCAAGGATGAATTCTACCACCAGTTATCTGTTCTTCTCCAGAAAGTGCGTTCGACAGATATTGTAGTACTAGCCGGAGACTTGAATGCTCAGGTCGGGCGTCTAGGCACAGAAGAGAGTCGTTTAGGTGACCGACGAGGACTTGTTGGTCGCAGGTCAGATAACGGGGACCGTCTACTGCAACTGTGCACAGACCACAACCTGTTTCTAGCTAGCACTAACTTTCGGCACAGTCATCGCCGATGTGCCACATGGCGTCCTCCTTCTGCATCTCAGGCCCGGACTCAGATTGATCACATCGCGATCAGCTACCGCTGGCGTGGTTGTGTACAAGACTGCCGCTCCTTTTGGAGTACCTATCTGGACTCTGACCATGCCTTGGTCTGCGCCAATCTTACCTTACTTTTCAGTGGACAACGAAGTGACGGCCACCAAAGGATTGATGTCAGCAAGTTGGTTGCAACTTCTGTTGCAAGTAAGTATCGAACAGAGCTAGCTGCTAGGCTAGCTACCACTCCACCGAAAAGTATAGATGAGCATTGGTCACAATTGCATGACGCCATGAAAATGGCGAGAAAAGTCATTTGTGAGTTCGCGAAACGTCCCGCTTATAATCACTGGTTTCTTCAGGCTCCTTACAACTAATCGAAGCCCATCGGTCTACTCCGGGTGACTGTGCGTTTGACTACAAACGACGACTGTTACGTAATGAAATTGGGCAAAGCTTGAGTAAGGACCGAGAAGCCTGGTGGTCGGAGCGTGCTTATGAACTGGAAGCAGCAGCTGCATCTGGTAACTACCGGAAGCTCTTCCAACTCATTCGAGCCACTAGCAGCAAGAATTCTGGTGTGAGCGAAACAATCTGTGAGGATGATGGGATGCCAATCACCAACATCCATCGACGTCTTGGACGATGGGCAGAATTTTTCGAAGGGCAGTTCAACTGGTCTGCTGCCCCGGCAACATCGGTCAGACTGTCCTGCCCTCCATGGCCGGTGACGACTAATCCACTAAACGAGGAGGAAGTCCGCAAGGAACTCCAACTCTTGAAGCGTTACAAATCACCTGGCCCAGATGACTTACCTCCGGCTCTTTTTAAAGATGGTGCTGACTTTTTGACTAAGGAATTGACGACGTTGTTTACAAAGGTTTGGGAACTAGAGAGTGTACCAACGTCATGGAATGAGTCGATAGTTGTCCCTATCTTTAAAAAGGGTTCACGTCGTTCCTGTAACAACTATCGGGGGATAAGTCTACTTCCGATTGCGTCCAAGCTATTGGCTTCCGTCATACTTCGTAGGTTGTTCAAAACCGGAGAAAGATTGACTCGCGAGGAGCAGGCTGGGTTTCGTTCTGGTCGAGGATGTATTGATCATATCTTCACCCTTCGCCAAATGTTAGAACACCGCCATACTTATCAAAGGCCAACAATCGTAGTGTTTCTTGACATCAGGGCTGCCTTCGATTCGTTGGACAGGACTGTTCTCTGGGATTGTCTATTGAAGAAGGGTGTGCCTGAGAAGTTTATTAACATCCTAAAAGCCCTATATACAAACACCTCAGGCAGAGTGAGGGCATACAACCACCTCTCTCCATTGTTCCATTCGAGTAGTGGGGTTAGGCAGAGTTGCCCAATCTCACCATTCCTCTTCAACTTTGCCATCGATGACATTCTGGAAACAGCTGTGATGAATGTAAGTAATGGTGGTGTGGATCTGTTGCCTGGAGAAAGACTTCTCGACCTTGAGTATGCTGATGATATTGTCTTACTGTGCGATAATGCCCAAGGCATGCAATCCGCACTTAATCAGTTGACAATCAGTGTCCGTAGGTATGGTATGTGCTTTGCACCTTCGAAGTGCAAAGTACTTCTACAAGACTGGCAGGATTCCAATCCTGTACTCACCCTGGATGGTGAGCAGATAGACGTAGTCAAGAAGTTCGTGTATCTGGGTAGCTGCATAAGTGCTGGTGGGGATGTAAGTGATGAGATCAATGCACGTATAGTGAAAGCCAGAGCGGCTTATGCCAATCTGGACCACCTTTGGCGCCTTCGTGATGTTAGTCTGGCTGTAAAAGGTCGGATCTACAACGCGTCGGTGAGAGCAGTTCTGCTCTATGCTTGTGAAACCTGGTCTCTCCGAGTTGAGGACGTTAGACGACTCTCTGTGTTCGATCATCGCTGTCTCCGAAGGATTGCCGACATCCAGTGGCAACACCATGTCAGTAATGCAGAGATTCGGCATCGTGTGTTCGGACACAGAGACGACAATTCAATTGGTGTCACCATCTTGAAACACCGACTTCGGTGGTTTGGATATGTTCTACGGATGTCGTCCCAGAGAATTCCACGTCGGGCATTATTTGTGGACGCTGGGACTAGTTGGAAAAAGCGGAGAGGTGGTCAGTGTATGACATGTTGTCGTGGTATGAAAGAAAACTATGCAGGACTGGCTTCTGTCGGTCCTTCACGACTCCCTGGTAGGTGTCCGAGAGATGGTGCAACACATTGGCTAGAGACGTTATCAGATATGGTTCAGAATAGAAGCCAGTGGAGATCCTGCTGTAACCTTTTTACTCTCTTCATAAAAAGTGGTTGTGTCTCCCTTACCTGAAAGATTTCTTCTGATTGTACCTTTCCGTTCCCTTATTATTACTATTATTATTATTGCACTACCTTACACCAACCTCTTCGTTATTATTCTCTTTTGTTTTACGCTCCTTACCTTTATTTTCTTTCTCTTCGAATTCTCATTGTTTTGTGTGGCGCATATATATTGGAGCTCTCTTGTACCAATATTTGTGTGTTGAAATAAATAAATAAGTATATTACAAACTCGAACTAATAATACATAAATATTTTTTTCCATAATACCCATTGCTAGGTTTTAGATAATGAATTCGACATATGTATAGATAGTATTATCTGATAATTTAGATAAAGTTATATATTCAACATTTTACATTGCGCTAGAAAATTCGATGAGACTATAATTTATAGACGACCTTTGAGTGACGCCAAAGTGACCTTGAGAGTGTCTACCTACTTAATAGGGCTAAATGAAGGTTTTAAAACTGTTAGTAGAATAGAGACAATGATTTACAGTTGATGATTAGAGTTAAGAATGACGTTTATGGTTTTTATCACGAACTGACATCAACTAATATGCCAAGACACTATTCAGACGAATGAGTGAATGAATTTCGCGCCAAAATCCAAGACCTGTTATTCTAAATTTGATTCGTTCGTCTACAAATTATATTCTTGCCGTAAAAATAGAAATAAAATCATTTATTAAGGCCAAGGCAGAGATAAAGATGTTATAAATTTCTTATGAAAACAAAGACTTGGATTGTTGACTCTAATTCTTCTAGTTTCTGTTCATACATAATATGTTTATTGAAATGGGTTATTCACAAGGCTTTCGTGACGAAACACTTACATGTAACTAACAAGAAAATAGGTGACATTAACGGTTAGTAAAAAATAGAAATGATAACAGTTTTCTATTTTCATTTAATGCAAAAGTAAATACATATTTTCTGTGAATTTATGCATCAAATAATATTGTAATTGAAAAATAGAAATATTACAGTTACAATTAGAATGTGTTTATTAACTGAAAGTCATTATATATTGTTTTTTTTCTATTTGAGAATTCTTTTACTTTACTGTGAAATTTTTCTTTTTTTGGCGGGATTCTTTTTGTTTGATATATTCAATTTCTTGTTCAGTTAGAAAACCACTATGACGTTTCTTAATGTTACATCTATCGAAAAGAGATGACGAAATAGTAGTAAAAATATTATAATCTGAAATCTTGCACAATCGTTATTTGAGAGAGATAAAGAATTGGATTTGGTTAGGTTTTCTTTATTCTTTAAGTAGTACTCGTCACCCATTAAGCATAGTCTAGTTACTATTAAAAACTGGGAATTATTATTAATCTATTATCGTCGGTTCAACCTTAATACTTACGAATTAAATTAGTTCCCAAGGAATCCTTACATCAATAAGATATTCGTAAGCTGTCCAACGACATACTTTGGGATGAGTCAGTGAAGTTCTAGCATAAAGTCCTGACCTCTGTAGATTGGAGATATCGAGAGTGGAGTCTTCACTAATGCTATTAGATGATGGCCCAATATATTACAAATTAATCATGGTTTGGAATGTTTACCACAGGATGCCAATCTAATAGTTGGTTTCTCGTTCTATTCAGGTTATGGGTGTGCACTATTGAGGAACACCATACTACGACGAAACGACTATCTAGTACTTCATGGTTTTCAATTGTATCTTAATTAAGGTCAGTCAGCGACAAATCAAGCTGATCTCAGTAAGGCCTTCATATCAGAATGTAATCTGATTTTTTCAAAATTATGTTATCAAACAATCGTTTTGAGGTATTATTTATCATAATTATAATTTATCGCCCATAACACTACGGAGTATTGAACCTGCGACTATTGGGTCTTGTAGCAAGCACAACATATTCTGACCACTAAGTTGAGATTTTGTATCCAAATTCATAGTTTCGATTAATTTTTGTCTTCATGCTAACGATGAACAACAAGCTTATCCATGACATGAATATCACAATTCAAATTATCATTGTAACATTTGTAGATCCATACCATAGAGAGTTTCAGCTCATTTCCTAACCAGAATTCTCCCACTTATTTATCGAAAATATGCCTGGACACTTTCTCAAGAACTATATAAGTTTAGACTTACTACCTTAAGAGATATTTTTGTGTAGTTAAAATATCAATTTTTTCCTATCTGCTCTGTGAGGCATCCAGAATTGTTACTTGAAGATAAATTTCATTGCAGACAAGGGGACCCTTTAAAATCAAGAAACTTGAATCCAACCATGAGATATATATCACCAATATCATTAGATGATTGTCTTACACTATCGCTAATTAATTGAAGTTGAAAAAGTAAGCTATTGTTTCCTGACTCACTGATATAATGGTAACGTTCTGGCTGAGAAACCTGTCGGTTCGAAATTTGACCATATGTGGAGTTATGAATACACTCTTTCAGAGCAATATCTAATGAAACAACAAATGACGTGTTTTTGCTATACGCTTTGAATAATGATGTATATTTCTCATGGTTTCACAAAAGTTGCTTCCATTCATCTATCCATTTATTCATTTTTATAGAATAGTATTAGATTACTTATAATTTTTATGATTATGATTATCATTAGCTTACATTCAGAATCTATGTAGTCAATCTTTGTTTATAAATTGGCTGCTTGATATATTAACCGGTTTTATAAGAGGAAATTCACTATTAAACTTTTGAATATCCACAATAGAATAATGGACAGCTTTTAATGAATAATATGTAAATATATCATGCTCATTGAACAAGTGATAGCTTGCTGACTTAATAATCCAATGAATAACACACTAGAATTTCAGTTGATGTTTACTGGATTTGTTTTTCAAGTGAGGACAAGATCAAGATGTAGATATGTATAATTATTGAGCCTCAATAAAGATTTTACTCTTAGCCAGTACCCAAGGTGTTTATATCAATCGTATCAAGATTCGCTTATTCACTGAACAATTTATTAAATTATTTAAAATACTAGTAACTAAGTAAAAATCTAAGATAATTGTGTTCGAAATGAATAGTTTCACTTATCTATGTTCTGCAGTCATGGTAATCTAATGACTGACTTTTTCACTAATTCACTGGTGGAGTAAAACATTCAAAAAGTTTTGTTATGATACAACATTTTCTATACTTTGAAAAATTAGAACAAACAAAGTATTTAAACCACTATATAAATCCAACCAAACCTTGTTCATGAAATAGTGGAAATCTTCAAATGGTTTTAAACTTAAAAAATATGATTCAGATATTTATTATGGTAAGAAAGCAGACTTTGGCTACTGATTAAGTTTTTGAAGTCGTTCATTTCTGAGAGTAACATAATTAAAGACTGATTGTATCTCAAAGGCTTTTTAGCCATACAGACTACTTATTACATAATTAATTTGATCAGTTTTCTGTATCGAAACATTCCGTTTTTAATATTTGTCGCCTTTCAGGATTGTATTAATTGGAACTAATATTCAGTTTATCATCGAAATATCTGGTTTTAATATAAAAGTTAGCACCTTAAGATATTAGTAGTATCAGGATATAAACAGACAGAAATCAACAAGAATAATACAAAAAGTATAGTATGTTAGCCAGTTGCTTTTATCCTGACTTGAACCTTATCAACAGCTTAACCTGACACAAAGTTGTAACCAAATTATATTCCTATCTCTCTATAAAGACATCATCGGATAGCTACTGAACAGTCATCACTTTCCAATCTATTCTATTTGTGATAGAGAAAGATTATCATCTAGTATCATCGATGGTCACCAATACCCGATAAGTTTTCCTTGTTTAAAGCCATAACTCATTATTTTGAACTATAAAGTTAAGAAATTTCTTAGCAAGAGAAGTTACTAGTGAGTGGCTGATATTTATTAAACTAGATTGTTCATAAAATTAATTTTTATTCAGGCTAAATGTTTCTTCTTACAATTATCATTACGCGTAAATATGCAGATAATAAATGGCAATGAATTCAAAATTTATTGAAATAAATAAGAAACATTTTAAAATAGTTTATCTAAATTTCTCACATAAATTTACGCGTTCTATGAATATATCTAATAAATATTAGTCACAATAAAACAATACTAATTATGAGCTCTCCTATATTCTTACTTCATAATGACTACTATAGCTTTCGTATAAGCAGCTGATTATTCCCTTATTTCTTATTGGTTCCATGTAAACGGTCATATGCTTTCTATTTGACATTTGTGCTGACATCATCGTTCAGAAAGCAACGATTATTTCAGAATTAGACCACCCAACTCAGAGAACGAAATTCTAACAAAACGCTTGATATTACAAATACTATAATAACGAAGTCATGCCTCCATAATATAACATAATAATGCTGAAAATCATTTCATCCTTTTGAGGACTCATAAATTCTAAGAGTGCGAACTTCTACTTTATTCATATTCATGACTGAAATTATTAGTGCATGATGGAGCGGCTGCCTTGATATTCCATTCACTTACATTAAAAAGAAAACCTACATACGTTTAAAACATAACATTAGAACATACTTTTATTCATAACTAAACACTTAGTTTTGGCAAACACTCTTACATTGCTATAAAAAAAATAATAATCTTATTTAGAACAATTAGTCCCTTTGATAAATTTCGATAATGATATTAGAAGACGAAGGTTGTCAGAACTATGTGATATATTAGCGCAATACATTTCGAACAATCTGGTCACACATATACTTGTTAAGAGCATTTATATATAAAAATAAAAGGTCAACTAGACAGGAAACGGGATAAGAGGAGATAAGGATAATGATAAGAGTAATAATAATAATAATGTGAACACAATTTTAAACCTAATCACTCTGGATAATAAGTCAATATTACCAGGGTAGGTTTAAGGTAAGAACAAACTGTTTTTGAACACATAAAGGGGGTTTGAATTTTCGTATGGCTAAGGCTTCAATGAACCTTAGTATACGCCCTTTTACACTTTTATACAGCACTAGTATATCCGTGTTTCTATTAATTGTTTGAACAATCTGATTCTTATGGATACCAAGATTACCTATATGAAACAGGATACTTTGATTTTAGAAGCAATTTATTAAAACTTCCCCAAAACTATTAAAAAATAATAACACTGCTCTAGATTAAGACTATGGCATACTTTTTAATGTAGCTTGTATTACTTTCATCGACAGCTATTATGAACATTTATAGCACCAATATAAATTTCATTTAACCACATTAATTTTACTATTAAAGTCAAATGATGATGAAAATGTTACTGAAATAGACACTGACTGAGTGAAAGAAATCTATTTTATAAGTGGATCATATAAGTAAACTTGAATAAGAAGAGATAAATTGATTATAGCATTACAAGTGAATAACAATGTGTAATAGACTATAACATATAATGAAACCAATAAAATTGATTCCTTTATTTGAACATGTTTGTAAAATATGGAAAAAAGAATCATTTTAATCACTTACCCCCATAATTCTGCACCACATCTATCACGTACACATGTAGCAAAACTTAATGTTGATGGTTGTGAATGATCACCTTGACCACGTAAACAACAACTGTTCATAACTTTCATAATTTGTTTTTTATTTTTTTGAAAATTTCTCCATAATTCACGTATTGCTTTAGAACATTCTTCATATTGATTACCACATTCTTGAACACATATATCAAACTCAGATTTACTCAATTTTTCACCATGTGAATCAGCATAACAGAAATTTAAATACATACAGTATAATATGCATAATAACAAATTTTGGAATAATCTCTTCATTTTATCACAACTTAATAATGAATAACTATAATAGTTGTATACCAATATTAAATACATCTGTCTATGACTCTTTTATAAGTGTTTTTTTCAAGGAACTAATTCTAGATATGTAGTATTTTAATATCTAACGAGTGTTATGCACACCAACAACAACAAAGGGGTGTGTAGTTTGAATGAATAGTTTACATCAATTTTGAATATTATAAGTAGTTATTATTAATAATCGAATATTTCATTATATTACTAACCGGATATAAGATGTAAATCCATAATGTACTGTGAAATAAACATTCATTACATGTAACAATCGAAATATGTATATATTGTACCTAATTGGTTTTTCAATAAACTAGTTTGAGGAATAAGTGAAAATCTAAAGAGGTATTATTACTGTGATACATAGCAATTAATGTTTACTAAGATGATTAGTGTAGGAAATGTATACAATTTCAGCGTAAATAATGTTAATTCATAATAGTTTAGTATGATTCTGTATAGGATTTTAGGTGAGCATTGGTGAAAATTTGCAAACTAGGAAAGAAAATCACTACTCACTTTTCACTGGGTATATATTTACTAGAAATTTTGTTGTAGATTCTAAATATATAAATACTTCTTCTATTTAATGAACTGATAACATCAATATACAATAAGATATTGTCAAAAGTTTTTTCTTTTGAAGTATCCCAAAATCTGAAATAATTCCACTGATTATTATTACTTAGGTAGCTAGTTCATTTTTTCTAAAGTATGAATACATTTGTTACTATTATCAACACCAACTGTGATGAACAGTATTATGTTTATTAAAGTATTCACTTTATAAATGTAAATATGCTGGTTAGCAAACAATCGGACTTTCACATTGATTAATGTAGTACTAACATAGTTCGTTTATTCTATATCGGTAACTGAACTTTTTGTTGATCACTTAGACGTAGGGTATTAGGGAATGATGGTAAATCAGTTGATGAGGTTGTGAATCCCCATCGACTGAGATGGTTGGGCCACGTGTTACGTATTCCTAAACCCCGAGTACCACAACCCGCAATGCTGACTAGTGTTGAAGACGGATAGAAGAAAGTTAGGGGAGGCCAAACCAAAACGTGGCATCAGTGCTTGAAGTCACTAACTTCTAGTCTGAGCCATGTTGGTAGATGCAGACTACTTGGTTGGGGTCCGCGTGACTATCGTAACCAATGGTTGGAGACTCTTGGTGACATGGCTCAGAATCGATCACAATGGCGTCGGTGTATACACTCCCTGTCTTCCCTTAAACTAAGAGATTTAATTCACTTCATATCTTTCTTTCTACGAACTAATTCTTTCTTTCTGTACTATGTCCTAACATGCAATCTTTCTTTTATATATTACCACTACTAAATTAATTACTTCTATGAATCCATTGTTCATCTTGCTGTGCTAATGAGGTGTAGCAACTTGGACTGATGCACATATGTGCCTGGTCCTACGTTGTAGCTGACTGGCTGAGATTTCCTACTAGCTGGCACTCATTACTACGGCATCACTTCATTGCTGAGGAGACTGATAATCCTAATGGATAACTCAGACTTTATCCCACTGGGAACACCAAATTCCTGAGGATTAGAGACATGTCTTTCCAATCAACATGAAACCGGAATACGAAGCTTCCTACTGGTTGGAATCAATCACCTGGCAACTCTTTTTAGTAATTTATGTGAACTAAATGAGAAAACAAATGAATTTTCTAGGTTACTTCGCAATAAATACAGTCACAAATGATACAGTAGACTGAGATGTATGATTGGTTAATTTATAACCTTCAATTATTATGATTAATCATTCGTAATCTGATTAGAGACATTTTGATCGATGATTTTGTGTATAATCAGCATTGTTAATTGAGTTGTAATATATCCAATCCTATTTCCTAGTAGTTGAAAAATTACCATTTCTAATACTTAAGTTAAATCGGTGGTTTCATCAAATTAATTATTTCATCATGTATATAATATAACCAATATATAGTCAGTATTATGAGCTAGACTTACAGACTATACGTTGGTAACAAGTAGACAGTTATTCTGCAGACATAATACTTCTAAAATTAAGCTTACAGAATTAGCAAAATCTATTTCTACTAAAAAAGAATATTACTAGGCAATAGATGATAAAAAAAGTGTATGAGGAGTTAGGAAATAGATAACATGTGAAATTAATAAGTATTACTTAAACAAATTTATAACAGGACGTGACAAATTCAACCATTAATTTAACTCATCACAACATCTTGTTTAGGGAGTTAAACCAGCTAATTATTTGTGACAAGATTAGAGTAGGATAAAAAGTATGATCTATAGGTAGAAATACCTAACCTGGGAATTTCCTATCATTTTATGTAAAATAATGTGTAGTCTCAATTGTAACCTTGAAGTATTTGTTCAAAAATAAATTACGTAATGGCTTCTCACTGCAGTGATGGGTAACTTGCTTAGTGTTGTGAAACTACAGAATGAGGTCGGATGTTGCCAGTGAAATAAATATTATGTAGTGAAGAGTCTAAAGAAAAAGCAATAGTCGCTCGGAATAACAAATGATACTTGTTAATTCCTTGAACTGATAAATGGATTATCTTAATCAAATACAAAACACTTGGTCATATCAACCTAATCTTTCTGAAATGTAATAAGAATCAATTAAATTTAAATGTTAATATCATGTACTTCCAAGTATCTCCTTTTATTTTATTTATACAACGCCTTATTAATGATTAACAAGCTTCTTGAAAGGTCCATAAACGCGACAGATTTGTAGCAGGGCTCATGTAATATCTTCCTGAAATATGGATATCACTCCCAAAGTTTTTCGCGTAATACACGCACGATTGTAACAACTGAAGCTTTAAATAATCCAACTTCTATTTAGAATAGGAAGTGACTTTTAGGTGAATAGGAAACTCGGTTACCGAGATAGGTGTTCATATTAGCCTTGTGTATATTGATCTTTATGTCCTGCAGGATAGTTTATTGGTTCTCTTCAGCTTCATGTTGTCTGTATCTGCCAACACGTTCATCAGATCCTCTAGTAGTTTACTACCGTCCAACGATCTCCCCTTCTAATGACTAGAATACTTAGCCAGATTAGATTTACATTTGGCAGCAGGTACCTGCGGAAACACGAGTAAGGGCTCGTATGTGCAATCAGAAAAAACTCCCGGTTGTAAACTGTCACTCCAAACTTACGGGTATCGCTTCCATGGCTTTCACCAAAACTTAACCCAAGTAGTTCAGATACCCAGATGTCCTTATAGTGCTGTAACTACAAGGAATGTATGGTGACCCCCGTGGTCGCTCGTAAGATTTGAACCCTAGTTGACGAAGTAACCTTGAGGCCCGTTTTTGAATTGACTCCAAATACTTTACTGTCTTTGGCTGAGGTGCAAAATATATCCCTACTTCAAACGAGGCCGAGTTGAACAACCAGTAGTGAGAACCACAACCAAAGTGGCTTACGAAATCGCTAATATACAGCTGGCTCGAGCTACTTTCGCCACAGCATTTGATCATATAGACTTAGGCACCTAAAACTTCAGTACTGAGACTGTCCAATTTGAATTTGATTTGGAATGCGGACCCGACAGACATCTCAATCTCCGGAGTTAGTTTGCTGTGATCTGCCAAACTTTGAAGTTGGATCAGATTCTCATAAAGTCCTAACATGTCCTTCGGACTTTAGGATTCCTTCCTACGCTTTACACCATTAACAGAAAGCAACAGTTCTTAAGATATTAATTGGTTGAGGAAGGTAGTTTGTATGGAAAAAGGGGAATGACGAAACGTGACAATCAGTTATAAATTCGTCTGCTCGGTTTATACCTATAACTTTAAAAAATTTTCAACCAACTCGTTTAGCTTGGTAGAAAGATAATACATCAAAGGGAATACATGAACTTTATTTTTGGAATAAGTAATCTGCAGATAAATTATTTAAAAACGATAGACAAAAATTTCTGACAAAATCTGTAAAAATGAAATGCAATTCTTTGGAATTGGTTTTTAATCTATAGGCACATATCAATTAACTAAACACCATTTTCTTTAGGCAGGGATTCACCATTCGCATTTATAAGCTTCACTTTCTTGGAAGTTGAGTTTTCATGACCATTTAATTCAAGACTTATACTTTCTACAGATTCCACAGGTGTCGTTTCAGTAACAGGACGTTTTTTCCTTATCAAGTGTGATATGTCATCAGTTGGGACACTAGTACCATTAGAGCATGGTTCCATTGGAGACTCGGTTTGTTTAATGCTTTCAGCTAATCGGTCTTCCTCAATATCCGCACACCGACTCTGAACGTCTGGTATTAAAAGTTCTATCTCTTTAAGTGTAACTTGGAGAAGCTCTTTCTCTTCTCCATCTTTCTGGTCAACAGCTTCGATTTTTGACCTGATATCTTCAGCCAACAACTTGAGACACTCAACTGAGGCTTTGAAAGAGCTGCTTGCGTTTGTTAAATCTCCAGAAACGGCATACGTCGTTCCCAGTTGGTAATGGCTTTCAGCTACACGACGATCTTTTTGACCCAAAATGGAAGTACGGATTCCCAAACATTCCTATGGAAAAATAGAGGAATCAGAGTAATGTAATTTGGATAAAAATCACAGTTCAAAACCGTCATGTTACATTCAGATTACTTCATTTCTACTTGTTGCATTGTCGGCCAACTATATTTCTGCTTTATATTCAAAACTAACAGTCCTAGACTCAAGAGAGTAATCTTATTAAAACTTTTTAGGGGAGGAAATGGCCCGAAACACTTAGAAACTTCAAATTTGTTGTGGATCAGTACCTTTTTAGACACTTTCGAGGTCTTTAACTGGAAATAATGATCCCATGAACACAACCTAGTTTACAGCTTGGATGTTTAGATAAAAAGTTATTGACCTTCATATGTCAAAGTCGTGTCAGTTGCCACACCTCAATAGCTTAAAATACCAATCTTTGGGTTTGTTATTTGCTGCTTTTTACAAGAATCCACTACTAAACATAAATGCCACGATGGAACCTGAATGAACAAGCGGTCAAGTTGGTAGAGCTCGACAATCTTCACACTAAACAATTATCACTTCGCCGCTGTAGTAGACACATTTTGGAATAAGCACCTTTGAAATGAGTATATTTAACCAGTCGACATCAATGGGTTGAAATTATACATACTGATGTGTTAACACAGTACCAAGTCTGAAAGACAACCAGATACATAACAAACCGATAACTGAAAACAGATGAACGATTGATAGTATACAATAAGAACATTTGTAAATTCAACCTTTTATTGGTTTACAAGATGGTAAACTAGGCTGCGAACACACCAGAATAACGCAAGGTACAAGTAAAGTGATGCCTAGGAAGCCAAAATACACATGGACACGTTTGAGATATCCTCATAATTTATAGTAGTTATATCGCAGTGCTATGGCAAACAAGTGTTATCTTAACGACAAGCACTTGGAATCCTACGCACTGTAAATGAATTACTGACATGAATGAAGCTATATGTAGGTTGATTGGCGCTTGTCATACAACCACTATTAGTTTTCTACAAACTTGGTATTTAAGATACAAACGATAGTCCCTGACAAACCCAATTATACTTCATACCGCCAAATATTCCGCTTCTTTACAAATCGATGGACGTAAAATAATCAGTCCATGACCCAAGAGTACAAATAACGTAAGTAATCACTAGAAATGCACAACGAAGACCAAATGAGGGCTATTATTACTTAACGAAACTCAATTAAACGAATCCCAAACCAATTATCTATGGACATATCCTGATAACGGAACATATGCAGTATGTTTTGTTCAAGTTAAAGGATAAATAAAAATGGACAAAAGAAATACCTTTAAGTCTAATACTGCTTGGTCATAATCTTCTTTCTCGCGACTAATCTCACCAAGCTTTTCTAGGCACTCGGCAACATTCAGTTTACTCTCTTCGTCATCTTTTTGTGAGAACAGTTTTTTGGCTACTTCAATAACCTCCCAAGCGATTTGAAGATTTGACACTTCATCTTCATCATCAGATTTAGCAGCTTCCGATTCTGTGGGATTATTCTGGACCTCATCTTGATTCTCAGACTCTTCCTCTTCAGATCCGTTTGATTCGTCATCCTCAGCTCCCTCAGAAGCGTCATCCGTCGGATTATCAGTAGCAGCATCATTTCCGCTTACAGCTTCAGTGTCTTCGCTAGGTGTGTCGGCTTCTTTGGTTTCACTTTCTTCCTGCTTTTTGTCTTCACACATAGCATCTATGACTTGGTTGGAAATATCTTCTTTTTCTTCAGCTACAAAACTGAGACATCAAATGACAATTTACTTGTCAATTCAGGCCCAGGTTCAATGATCCCATCATCCGATTCTGAATCATTTTTGTCTGAATCTGGTACTAATCACGTTAAGTCAAGTCATTCGGTACTTACTCCCATCCAATGCATTCCCGATAACTGAACTTTCTATTCGTGATAGTTCGAGAAGAGCAGTACCATACAGTAAGTTAGGGATAGCAAGAGCTTCATGAAAATCACCATGTATCATCGACCTGTTAATTAAACAACAACATCAAGACTCACAGAGCTTCACAAGCTTTTTGAAAATTATCTACTGCTTTGTTAATATCACCACACACTAAATCTCTCCTTCCTTGAGTGATTAAATCCTCCGGTGCATGCTCCATCTAAACACTTTGAAGACAAATAGAGCGCTGTGTCTTGAAATCCAAATTGGGGACTAGTTTGTACTGCATTCTCAATGTCCACGAGATATACTATTTGTCGTGACGGACTTATATAAGCTTACATTTTTTTTGTATCTGAGTTAATGTGTTAATAAACGACGAATACGGTATATATGGTGATACGGTATATATAAAGCGATATTTAAAAGAACACTGATGTCTCTCTTCTTTCAGCTAAACTTATAGATTTGATCGTTTATTAAGCATTAAAACTACTATCCTCACCTTAATTGGATTATTTTGCACTAAATGAGCCCTTTTTTCCGAAAGCAATTTCGTGTATTTGCTTTCACTAAGTATATTGGGTTTTCTTTATCTGTTGCGCTTTTGAAATTCCGGACAATGTGGGAGACCAGGAGGACCAGTTAAATAACAACGGAACTGAGTAGATATAACTAGGTGGTTCTCAAAATCGGCGAAACCCATCGGACTCATGCTGGACAGCAAATATTAGATACTGGCAAGGTGCTACTGTACACCGGTAATGAAGAGGAAAATGCTCCGTACACAAAGGGAGTTGCACTGGTGCAGTCTAAAGATGCATGAAATACACTTATTGGGTGAGAATCTCACGAATTCTGGATCATCGAATCATCCTCCAAGACAAAGGAGGAGGGAATCACAATGAATGCTACTCAATTTTACGCACTCACCAATGACAGCAATGACGACGATGAATACCAGTACTAGAAGAAGACCCAATATATTCATTAACCTCCCCTTCCCTGATTTATTACTTATCAAAAAGTGTAATATAAGCTATCATATTCATATCGAACGACCTCTTGAAACAACCTGTACAAAAATTGCTTAACAAAATGTATTTCTTAAATAGTTTACTCGAAAAAGTTGGATGTAGTGTAAATTCTTCCAGATCACTTATTCGGATAAATTGTTACTTTTTATTTATACTATTCTTACCGGAAATTCGCGGTTTTTATTAGATGCGGACTAAAGTTGATGTTCTGATTTTGATAATTACACTTCGTTGTGCTGATAAACTGCCGTAGTTTTGATTCATGCACATATTTCCTGACTGGCTCACACAATTGCAATACGTTTAACAACGTCATTGTTGTGTCTGACTATACAGTGTTATTTTGTAGTGACAGGAGTACTAATAGTCCTATGAATAAAATACTGTGAATAAATATTTCAACATAGGGAGTACATTAAGGCGCTATAAGTATCATTATATTCGTCATTAAAAACAGTCATCATCAAATAACATGTAGCGTGCAAACGATCGGTATAAATAAACAGATAATAAAGAAGCAAAAATCGGAAAGGTAAATAAATGAAAACAAATAAGACATAAGAAAAATTATCAAAATTTTGTATTAAGTATTGTCTTGAGCAATTTTGTTTTCAATTAGATATTCATGAGGCTCTAATCTGGCTGCAATTAAACGCAACTCAATTTCGTAAATGTGCCCTTCAGCTTAGCAACCAATCAGAATGGGGCGGGAATTATTACATCCGCCATCTTTGTAAGCAATGGCGTCGGCTTTCTTCGTTCTGTGCTTCTTTCAGCTATTTCTTTTGTGTAGCTATGTAATTTAATGTCTCAGTGTACTAAAATACCGCAGTTAGTGTAATGTTCTATATGTTGGTGTGAAGTTTATTTCGAATCAGCGATGTTTTTTGGGTTTTTGCTGCTTCTACTCAAGTCAATGTATTTCTTCGGGCAATCTGGCTAGTCTTGTGTTATAATATGTCGGCCGGCTTTCTTCGTTCTGTGTTTTTTCCGTTTTTTTATTTTGTGTAGCTACAGAATTTGATGTTTCAGTGTGCTAAAATCCAGAAGTTAGTGTAATACTCTGAACGTTGGAGAAAATTTTTTCCTGATTTTGCTTTGTTTTCTGGGTTTTACCTGCTGCTAATAAAGTCACTGTATTTATACAGCTAAGCTGGATAGTACTAACATAAGACCTTACGTTTTTAAACGACAATCGGTTATGTTTTACCTTGTTTTCTAGATATCCGAAGCCGAAGTTCGTTTTCATTTAGCTAAAATAATTGTTGCTGCCGCCTGTGACTCTAACTGTTCGCATGTTCGTTCCTAACTGTCCTTTATGATGTTATCGGCAAAATGAAAGGAAACAATCTGCGTTTTGTAATTTTCTTCAGTATTATGGACAACACTATCCCACCAACGAGTCAAACTAATACAGAGTGCCAAGGAGTAGGGTATATCGGTACTGATTTCGAAAGGACCCAGACTTCCGACAACTATAGATGAAATCACAGATGCTACCAATCTATTGCAGAGGGTTTGTTATGAAAAATATGCCATATAGCAGTAATAGAGGGGTTGTACTCATTACTCAGTGCGTTAAAGCAAACTTAACATTGAAAAGCTGGAAATCTGCTACCAGTGTGTAGTGTATGTTTGCTGCTTTGGCCATAAAAGGAAGCCGAAGAGTCATGATCAGGGAGTAAAAAGGTAATTAACTGTTATTAAGCTCATTTTTTTATAGATCATATTTCACCACTCGCAAATTTGTGTTTTCTTACGGTATGATGTCAACTGATACCTAATATGTTCACCCTTACGATGAAAAGTACCTGCAAATTTTCCCCTTCATATTTGAATTATTTTTGGACAACTGTCTTACAGTCCGAGTGCTTCGTACGCCCCGAGAAACTCTATTTCTACAACATTCGTAGTTCCAGTATAACTTTCTCACGCAGTAAGTTCAAATTAGACACTAGTCTTTCTAAATAATCCTGTTAAGCTGATATCCGTATTCTCTTTTTCAGTTAATCGATGAAGACATGCACCACGTGCATCTGCTGTATACTGCCATTTTACTCCAATTCTAACTGTTATATCTTACTTTTGAATAATAAAATTGCTATATGCTGCAAATACAGACTTATTTGTTTTGATGGAGATAGGGGGGTTCATGGGGTTTTCAGCAGGACCGTATTAATATTCTCACTAAAGAGCTAAGCGAGTGCGTAAACCAGTGTAAGGTACCGTACGGGGTGCATTTTAGTTACTGGTGTTCCATTAGTGCGGGTAGGGGCATTGCTTGCTTGTCATTTGAATTAGAAGCTATAAGATAAGACGCAGGTACGGTTATGATGTGTAACGCGTGTCCATCCATCAGCTGCCGTGACAACCCATGGTGGTTAGAATAAGCTATGAGAGGACCCGAGTCTGTAGGTCTCCCAAGAAAATGACGAAGATAATCACCACATCACCTTATGGAGAGCGCCTCCAATGACTTAACCTCTACTCATTAGAGTATAGACATCTTAGAGGTGACCTAATGGCTTACAATAACCTTAACACTTCTGGACATCCCCCAAAACACCTGATTAAGCTTAGTTCCAACACTAACCTAAGGGGTAACACTCAGAAACTAGAGACACAACATAGCAGAACGAACTGTAGGCACAACTTCTACTCCTTAAGAGTTGTCAAATGCTGGAATTTTCTGCCGGCCGAGCTAGTCCAAGCGACTTCCCAGGAGTCCTTTAAGAGGCAACTGGATCTATTCTTAAGGACTAAAAATAGTATCATACTATGATTTACCAATTTCTTTTTCCTCTTTTATTGTTAACATACCTAGTTTCCTGCCTGGAGGTTTTGGTGATCCCCTGCTACTAGACACGGAAGCCTGTTAAGCGAAAGCTTCTATTCAGTCCACAACCATTTGAACACATGAACTAGGTGCTGAAAGGCTCGCTTATCACAAGTTTCTTACAACGATTAAGTAGATAAAACAAAGTAGCATTAGATTCAAAAATTTATTCAAGAACTTTCATTAAGAATGGAATGTCAAACAAAGGTTTAAACCAAGTTCCCGTTTAAAAGTTGTATTGGTAATGTTAAGCTGCAGTTTTTGTTGTTTTTTTCCAAAAGAAAGAGTAAAAGAACTCAAAAAATACTGGAAGTGGTTGTGAGACTAAAATGGACGTCCAGCATCCTTTTTATAATCTGCTATTCATTGGGTCTCCCGTAATCAGTTCCATAGGGCCATAGTTCCAAGGGCGAAGCAGTTTTTAGGGCCTGTGAAGGCACACTCCTGTTGCATTCTAAATGAAAAAATAGTGATGAATTTAGTCAGAAATGTGGAATAGATAAATAACCAAAGCACATGTTTTTTAGCAAAGAATTTATGCAGTTGTGATTTACCTTGAGTTCATGAATATTAGATAAGGTCAGCTACTATTACTTGCGCAAAGCATAACATGGGCTTAGTACCGTATTGCAATGTTTTTATTATTTTGCTCCCATTTAAGTATTCCCATGCATCTGTGTCTAGTTTAACAGGAAAACATACAAGCAGAGTAAGTGTCTGATAAACTAAAAGTCCCAGTTGTCAAAAAGATTCTTAATATTTGTCCACAGCCAGCTGCACTTAATTGAGGCACAGAACACTCACCTTCTAATACCGTATACTGCTGTTTTGCGGCAACTAAAAGCTCAGACACTTAGCTATCTTGCTATCGATGTTATTGCTGGGGAAATTGTTTAATGACAGTGATCATGAAATATTGTCAGTGATAGATATACAGTTTCGAAATAAACACCAAACATACTTATCGCTGTCTTATAATGTATGACAGCAACAGCATCAAAGGCACGTTTTTTCCTATTTTTAATCAGACTGATCTGAATCCGTATACACATTGGAAACAGGCAACTCTACTTACTAAACTGATCTGTTTCGTTACAGGCTTCAAGCACTATACTTAAGTATATCATAATTCTTTCAACTAAACTGAATTATACGACAACCACGAACACTAAACTAAGCAAGTGTCATAGTTATTGTTTCACTTGCAAAGACATGTTGCTCAAAGTAGTTAAATGGACATTTTTCAGCCGATAAAACCAAAACACGAAATATAGGCCAGTTGAACTTACCTAAGAAAAAAAGAACGACACATATATACTGCTTTCATACTGAAGACAACAGGCAGTTGTTCATAGAAACATAGTTTACAGTACAACAA